TGATTATCGCCTTGCCTGGAATGAGAGCAATTATCACGGCATTCAAGTTATCCGGGTCCCATACAACACGGTTTGGCTTCCTGACATAGTCCTTGAGAACAAGTGAGGGCTTCACAAAAATGTGTCAAATACTGCATATTTTTTCCTGCTACAGAGCAAGAATGCAGCCTCAGGTCAGCATTGTTTCTAATTTATCTTCTTCTTGTGCAGCATTGATGGCCAGTTTGACGTGGCTTACTACGCAAATGTCCTGATCAGCAGTGATGGGTGGATGTACTGGTTGCCTCCTGCTATCTACCGTAGCACCTGTGCGATTGAAATTACTTACTTCCCATTTGACTACCAAAACTGCACACTGGTATTCAGGTAAATAATAAACTAAAATAAAACACAGTCTGCAGGCCTCAGGCTGCATTATAACTGACTTTCTTCTCTTTTCGCTTGTCAAAAATCCAAACAAGATCCCAAACTTACAGTTACAATGAACTGGACTTGATCTTGGCTACTGAAAACGATGAAATATTTGAATGGGTGCATATTGACCCAGCTGCTTTCACAGGTACACAAAATCCACTCTGTCGCTACCCTAATATTCAAACTGTGCAGGTTCATCCCGACTGTTTATGTGTCCCCCTAACAGAGAATGGTGAGTGGGCCATTGTCCACCGACCTGCCAGGAAGATGATCAACTCGAGGTATTCCCCCGACGACCTGGAGTATCAGGAGATCGTGTTCAACCTGGTCATTCAGAGGAAGCCCCTGTTCTATATCATCAACATCATCCTGCCCTGCTCTCTCATCTCCTCGCTGGTTGTACTGGCCTACTTCCTTCCTGCTCAAGGCCAGTGCTAATTGCTATTATTGACAGCCCTTAAAAACAAAAAAAGAACAGAAAATTGGTATGTCATATGGGTAGTTGCCCAGGGCAGCATTAGAAAGGGGGTGCATGAGAATCATATCAAAAATAGAACTCATTCATCTAATTTAGTTTTCCCCTAAATGAGTTTTTTGTTGTTTTAATAGATGTGGACACAAAGGGGAGCTTGGCTTAATGTTGTAAATACGGAGATTGTGTTAGGTTTGATGCTAATCTCATACCTAAATTAAGTTATTCTATATTATCTTCTTTTCTTGGCTGGAGTGGCTGATTATATAGTATTATATTATATTAATTAATAGTTTGTGAGTTTTAATGTCCTCTATATTAATTTGACAGCAAAATAATACAAATTTCAAAATGCTGCTGCTCTCTCTATGTGTTGCTATTATAGTACAATGATTATATTTTTAGATGGGTTTTTTTTCCCATTTTCTTCCAGCTGGAGGACAAAAACTGACTGTCTCCATTTCTGTGCTGTTGGCTCAGACTGTCTTCCTGTTTCTGATTGCTCAAAAGGTCCCTGAAACATCACTCTCTGTCCCTCTGATTGGAAAGTGAGTCATCTGTAGTCTCTCGTGACCCCTGCTGGTTATGTTTTACACTTTAACCCCAAACAGACATCTCTAATGTCCTTCTCAGGTACCTCATTTTTGTCATGAGTGTCACAACTCTCATTGCAACCAATCAGATTGTGGTGCTGAACTACTCTCTCCGCAGCCCCAGCACTCACATCATGTCCCACACTGTCAAGCACGTAAGCCCACCGCGGGAAATGACATGTTTTGAAAAACAGACATAGTTTTTGTGAGCTAACAAAAATTGTCCAAATTGTCTCCTGCAGCTGTTCTTGGAAATGGTGCCTCGTTTCTTAGGCATGTCCCCGCTGGTGGACGACAGTGAGGCAACAGCAGAGGTGAACGGGCTGAAGGAGAGGCGGCGCAGCTCCTTCGGCCTCATGCAGAGAGCAGAGGAATATGTGTTGAAACAACCTCGGAGTGAAATGATGTTTGACAAACAAAGAGAGAGGCATGGTCTCACTCGTTCAATTGGTGAGAGTGATTTTCATTTGATAAATTTTCATGAAGTTTGCCATATACTCCAATTAGAAGAATCTCTCCTCCTGCGCTGATGCTGTTGAACTCAAAATATTATTTGCTTCTATTAGTGGAGTTATTCTGCTTCTAACTGTTAGTCTCTCAACCTTTGCAGTAAATAATATAGATGTCAGCAGCACCGCAAACTTATACAAGAGTTTAGCGCAGGCGGCACCTGAGATTAAACAGTGTGTGGACGCCTGCAACTTCATTGCTGAGAGCAAAAGACAGCAGAATGACATTGGATCTGTGAGTATTGCAATTTAAGTTTGCAGATTAGTTTTGTCCTTTTTTAAACAAATATGATGTGCCTTCCAAAAGTATATTTACTTCTTAAGCTATATTCTCATAACCTTCAATGTAGTTTACTGAACTTTTCTGGTTTCAACATACAGATGAAACCAAATGTTGGTTTAAACTCATTTTATCTTAACCTGTAGTAGCAGAAATATCTAACCTTTCTGCTGTGTTTCTTGGTCTTCATTGTGTTTGTTTTTTCAATGGTTTTCTTTCAAAAACTCTCAGACAGGAGCACTCTATTCACTAACCGTGGATTGGATTTTATTCATGGGTATCAAAGTAATGGAGGCTGAATGTAAATAGTTATGTTTTCTATAAACTTTTAAAACAAAATTCCTTTTTCCTTCTGCTTTACAATGTCACAGTTTTAACAGTAGGTTAAAACTGTGCATTAAAGTTAATGCATTAAAAAAACAACTCTAATAAAACCCATTAAGGCTGTTGCTGTGTAATGCTGTTACACTTGAATTTCCCTTCTGGGACAATAAATACTGTTTCTATTCTATTCTATTCTATTCACAGGAAATTGAAAGCTGGGTTCTGATTGGAAAGATGATCGACAAGGTGTGTTTCTGGGCTGCCATTTTCCTCTTCACTGTTGGCACTGTGGGAATCTTCCTTACTGGGCACTTCAACCGAGCTCCAGACTTCCCATTTCCTGGAGAGAACAAGAAATATGCTCCAGTTTCTTAAAAAACTATTAATGCTCTTGGAGCATTTATTTACAAGGTTCACTTTTCTTCCTGCTAAGTTAGCAGCACAGCTTGTGAAGTCGGAGGCTTTAGGGTTAGTTTCAGGTTGGATGATCTGTGTCAAAAGTCACACTGATCATCTGCAAAGCAGCTGTGGGTTTAATTTACATTTAAATTTTGGCATGTTCTTTTGGCGAGTCAATAAAGCTATGTTCTAAATCATAATAATGCTCAGGAAAATCCTTCAAAATATGGTTTGTGTTTTATTTATTACTTTCGAGTCTATGAGAAAGACGTGACATTTCGAAACTGAGAAAGTTTAGGCTTTTCAGGAGAAAAGTCTAAAGCTTTTGACTAAGCAAATTTAATTTTACTGGGGGAAAGACGTAGGTAAAAGGAGACTCCCTCTGAGGTTTAGCTGCTTTGTTTATGTGTGAGGAGCAAAAGTTACCTAATTATTCACTGTCTTAAGAAAACCCAAAGCAACCAGAATTAAACATTTATTTGCCTTCTTGTTTTAATGACCTTGTGTAGGGAAGATGGATTAAATAATGTTATGTGTTTATTGGTCATTTTTTGTCAATATTTTTATGTGTAACACTGAACTAAGTAAAGTAACTTTTATTGTTGACATACATGTCAAATAAAGCACATCAAGGCTTGTTTGATTCATATCTGTTGCAGCATTTGGGTGCTTGAACCAGAGATTTTGTAGCAATTCCCAGATTTGGGTTTTGTATTATTATTTATAATTGTGTATTTAATTTTTTTTTCCAAAATAAAGTGTTTTGATTCTAAGTACTAACCTATTCTTTGCACTTTTTTACGTGTTTGACAACAGTCCGAGCCTTGTTGTTAAAATGGGATAAAACGCCATCTTGTGGCGAGAAATTGTACTACGTTAAGATAAATGGAAACAGGAAAAATGACACAATACTGAGAGGAAGTGTCGGTCAAAAATGTATTTATTATTCAGTGGAATTGTCTTTTAAACAATGCGTCTGAAAATTGTTACCAAGCATGAACCAGACTTGAGCAGCTCCACAAATCTCTGCCTTATGTTTTGGGGGATTTCTTTTGATATTCCCTTTGTGTCAACAGTTCACCTGCTATTAGAAGTTTTTTCTTTAACTATTGACATTTAACATAAAGATACATCCATCTACCCAACATCTATATCAGCTTACCCTTGCAGGGTCACAAGGGGGCAGCCTATCTCCAATGATCACTCCAGCAAGGACCGGGTTACAGCTTGGACACATTCCCAATTCACTACAGGGCAACACGAGCAATAAAGCACACACACACTTATCTTAGAGTAACTAAAATAGTCTTTTTTTTTTGGACTGGGAAAAAGTCGGAGCACATGGAAAGAACCCAAACATGCACTAGGAAATCATGCAAAGTCCATGCAGACAAACTCTGGGCTGCAACTTGAACTGAGGACATTCTTGCTGCAGGGTAATAGTGGTAGCCAAAGTGATATCCTTCAGCTCACATAAAGGTATATATATAGCCAAATATCATTTTTCATTCATCTGTCCCCACTTTACCTTGTGATAAGGAGAAATCGGTTTACATAGAGGGGTTACATAGTAAAATGTAAACCCATTCTAGCCCCAAATATAGGAATAGGAAAACCTTCACAATGGTACCAGAAGTATTTCTTCAAGGCTGGATAATTGTAACAGTTTTTCAGAAAACTAAAAACAAATAGACTCGAGCTAATTATTTGTTCTTTGAATCTGTCTCTGTAACCGGATTGATCTGATTATGTAATTTTGCATATTTGCTTTGATATGCCGTTTGTTCTGAACTGCAGTTGAATCATTGTGAAGAAAAAAAATGTGTTTTTGACCTTAATTTTGAAAGAGCCCGTACCGGAAGTCACGTGCTCTTTCGCATGACGTTGTCGCAGTAGTATGTGCACCGCCACACATTCTTTCATGTGTTTTTCATGTTTGCGGGCGAGCCTGGACTTGCTCCCATGAACTACATGAGCGTCATATTGTCACGGGAGGAAAGTGAAACTCCCGCGTTAATTTTTCCTTTCTGCAGTGCCAAAATGCCAAACATCCCGAGTCTCCATCTGCTTTAGTTTTGTTTTAGTGAACCAGCAGAAAAGCCCATCCCAAACCAGCTGTTTAAAGACTTACACACAGGACTCTCATCACATTTCCAGCCCTCTATGCTGCCCCATGTTCGGCGATGGGAGGGACTAAACCAGGGCATCACCTCAAGCACAGGGTGACATTTTCACACGGGTTGGAAAACGATGCAATAATGGTGTGAACGCAGTGTGGACGTGGACTGGGCCGTAATTAAACACGAGTAAGTAGATTTTTAGGCATCCGGCTTATTTCTCTTCGTTACGTCGTCGCAGTGACGTGACGACGGGTCTAACAGGACATTTGTTACACCCTGCGGTATGACAACAAAAATAGTTTTCTGGATGCAGTGCTTGTCTGCTGAAAGCCGTGGCATTTTATACGCGTTCTTGTAGACGGATGTGAAGTTTATGGCGGACTCGGAGGGATGGGTGGAGACGAGAGAAAGTTAGATCACATTCTTTCTGTGCCAGAAAACCTATATTATATATATATATATATATATATATATATATATATATATATATATATATATATATATATATATATACTTCCAGTGACTTCTTGTCAGAAACGAAAAGTCCCCCCCCAAGTGCTTTTGTAATATTTTAAAGTTACAGTGACACAAGTTACAAAAAAATGGCAAAGTGTATTCAAAACTGATTCCTGGTAGGATCTAACTTTGCACTGTTGTTTTAGTCATGAAGGAATTTATGAGAAATGTTACTTATCTTTCCCACTAGGGAAAGATAAGTAACTTTAATTTTCCTCAATTGATTGATAGAAAAGTCCAGGCTTAATAAGTGCAGATCTGCCATCATTCCCTTAAAATATTCCATCACAGCAGATAATATATGTGTTTAAAATGTTTGAAACACACAACGAAATGTAATCTCGCATGTGTCTAAAGCTTTATTTAAATTTCTCAGCTTGAATGAAGCATCAAGCTGAGAAACCAGGTTGAGTCAATTTCACCTGTGACCACACCCAGTTTTTATGTTGCTACATGTTAGCAACTTTACCAGATTTTCTTTTTTGGGTGCGTGAGAAAGGTCAGTGTTAAAACGCCAGCGTGTTGCTTCGTTTTTCAGCTTCCAAGTGCATTCATCTGAATGAGCGAGGTTATCTTTTTCTGATGTTATAGGGAAAAATATTTCAACAAGCATGCAGAACAATCAGATCTGGCAGTTTGTGGCTTAACCTGTGAAATTCCCTCTACACTAGGGGTCAGCAACCCAAAATGTTGAAGGAGCCATATTGGACCAACCCTATCCTAACCTAACTCTCACTACAGACCAAACACTAAATCCTTTTGCATTGGCAATGAATGCAAATGATTTGGTCAAGAATTGTAGAATCTCTCCTCCGCTATTTTAGAGTGTAGACTCAAAAGAAGGCCACTATTAACAATAAATAATCATGTTTATTGTCAACTTTCTTGACCAAAAACATAATAGTTTTTACCAGAAGACCACAGAGTACCCTGCTGGAACGTTTCCATATATTATCACAATTACCAACCATATCGTGGTTGTCCAACTAAAGAGACAGGTGAGGTGAGCACTGCATTAATCAGAAAAGCAGCCAAGATACCTCTGAAGAAACTAGAAAATTACAAAAATGCTCTGCAATTTACCGTTGACCACCTATAAGACATGTAGCTTATAGGTTAGCTATGCTGTACTTAAAAATAATGACCTTTTTATTACATGTTTATCAGATTTTACATTTAGTTTGAAAGAAGATGGTGAGATAACTCTTTATGGTTAATAGATCATTAAAACCTCAAAATCTTTTCACTTTCTTTTTCATTCAATATATAATTGGAAAACAAATTCTAATCAAACATGCAGCTTTTTTCAAGCGCTGTCCCATCTGTGAAACATTGGATTACATCAGATGGGTGACATGAGAGTCTTGTGATTATGTTACACAAGAGTGGAAGTGATCATTTGAGAAAAAAAAAAATCTGATCTGTTGTAGCTCTTCAGATCTTGTAAACGCTTCACACAATCGCAGATGGTGTTCCCACTGTCACTTCCTGTCTGCCATCCAGCCTCTTGTGTGTTTGTTTTCTCTCACGTGTAATATTTAACCTCATTTCACATGGAAGCGCTGTGACATTATCACACATTTCCTGGATAAGTGCTTGGATTTACTGCAGATGTGGTTCGGTTGTATCTCAACCGCAATTCTCAGTACCTCTTTTATTGTCTCAAATACACACACACACACACACACACACACACACACACACACACACACACACACACACACACACACACACACACACACCCCCGCCTTTCCATTTGCCCTGTTTCCCAGGAAACAGCCATTCAAAGACATCTACCCACATACCACATACAAGGCCCCACACACTTCCTTATTTTCTTACTGTAGCCGCGTCCTTTATGTCTCAGATGTCGTATTGTTGCTCACTAGGTAGACGTACGAAGGTCTTCACGTTTTTTTGGCTTTCAAAAAATAAGTCCCTCCCATTTCAGTTATCATGATACAGATTTGTTTTGTTTTTCTTGAGTTATTTTTACTTATACTTATTGCTTGTCCCCTTCCTTTGTGGTTATATGATGCTGTTTGCAGATAATTAACCCAATTATTCAGACATTGCCACTGCGTCGCACGGCTGTGTTGTGTCTTGTTTGGCAACAGAAAGTGTTAATTCTGTTCTTGCATGGAAATCTTGTGGAAGGGGTCTGATTGTTGCCTGAGGGAGAACAGAAACAGCGAGCGAAGCCTCCAAATTGTGAGATGAGCCAGGCCTCAGAAATTGCCATCTTAAGGACCTCACAATTTCCGAGAGTGAAAACTGTGTTTTTGTTGTTGTTGTTGTTGTTGTTGTTGTTGTTTTTTATCATGGCAGAAGCATATTTTCAGCCTGAAAACAGAAAAATACAATCTTTGTTTTTCATTTTATTTAATCAATTTTGGGGAAAATACGACTTCTTTGGCTTGATGAGTGCAAACATTGCACAGCAATGTCATCCCGTTGTTTTTTGAAACTCTGCAGGACGAGAAAGATAAGAGAACGTGTTCAAAAAGACAAGATGTCTGTTGATAATGGCTTCAAGAAAGGAGCATTTTAAAGAAGACAAAAAAAGCCTCCTGCTCATAATGCATAATAAACAAACATAAAACCAATATCAGTATATACTATTATCAGTAATAATAGCAGTTCTAACAATAGCAGTCATCTAATTAGAATATTAATCTTATTTTTTATAATACAAAAGTAAAATTGATGTAAACTGTATTTCATGATGACTAATATTAATGAGAACAATAGTAATGGTGGTGAAAATTCAATACTCTTAACAGCTTTGCTTATAATGGTAAAATGAATAACAGGTTTGGCCTGCAACAGGTTTGGGAGGGGCTGCACTGTTATTCTTTCCATATAACTTGAAAAACTGGTTCCGTTTCAACTTTTTGCACAACTTTACTATGACTATTTTTATTATTTTGATCAAAATGGACATTTATTTTATTATAAATTTGCTGTATTTAGTACCAGACACTTTGACCTCCAAGATTTAAGCAGCACAAAGAGTCTGATCTTGTTTGGGTCTTGCTTTTTAATTTGTGATGTCAAATTGTTTGGATAATATTTATATTCTTTCCCGTAGGGTAGCTTGATCTTTCTGCAATCGCGCCATGGCCAGTCCAGACGATGATATCGAGCCTGCAGCTGTGAGCTCAGCTGCACCGTGCCTCAACAAGAGGCGCTTCTCGCGCGACCGCTGTGACCTGAAACTAGATGAACTAGACAGCCTCCTAAAAAACACCGGTAAGTAAAAATATTCCTGAAAAAAGATTTAATGTACAAACAGTTTTTTTGCTTGACGGCAACCCTTTCAGTAACGTTTTTCTTCCAATTATCTGTATTCCAGAGGGCCGACCTTTTACAATAATTCATCGTCTGACTGAAATTAAAGAAATGGATCTACCTTACTTATTGCGTGATTCTCCTATTACATGCACTGTGAACAACACAGAGAAACACACTAGTCGATCAAAGGTAAATATATTAGCATTTGTTTTGTGTGTGTGTATCCAGCTAATAAATATTTTCTTTGGTAAAATCCCACACGAACAGAAAGGAAGCTTCACATTTATTTTTAACATCACACTCATACATAAGGTGATGGAAACCTGGTGTAGAGAAGACCTTCAGATAAAAAATGTATTTTGAATGTTGTGTTCAATGTTAAATGTTAAAAGCATATGATTTTTAAGAAATTATGTTATCTAAAAAAATAAAATGATCTAAAATGAAAAAGTTTTGTGTAAAAAAAGTTGCACTAATAACTAGAAGTTTTCAGGATGATGCTTTCCCTCAAAAGTATACACATTACTTCAGTTTACTGAAGTAATGCAAACCTTACTTTCTGCATAAGTATTTTGCCCTCTTACACTGTAGGGGTTTGAACTTTGACTTAACCATTTCAGTGTATTCGGTAATTTTTGAGGTATTGAGGTGTTTATTTGTGGCTGTGTTGGAGATCACTGTGATGTTAATGTTTTGACTTTAGCCAAGCTTTAGCTGTTAGACAGATTTGGCTTAAAAATGTTTTACTAACACAAATTTATTGTTGATTCAGTCGCTTGAAAGCTTTTTTTCCTAAGCTCCATAAGACATGGTGTGTTAAATAAATGCATATGATTTCACTACGAGAAATGTATGCATTGCATGAATATGTTTTATTTACATGTTGAAGTGTAAACAGTAGCTAATAGTTTAAATGCAGATCAGAAATGCTAAACTATTTAATACAAATGTATATTTTTTATGGATGCAAACCTTACTTTCAATGTGAAATGATCCGAACATTCAGTGTTCTCTCTTCTTTGGTCCCTTCTTTGGTATTTAATGTTTGTTATTTTATGGCTAATTAATCTGGTTTACATAATTTGAATAATCTGCCCCCAGGTGCGTGTACGAAACCTGTACACGGTGAAGTTAACTCACGGACCCTTTCACTGGGTAGTAAAGCGGAAGTACAAGCACTTTCAGGAGCTTCACAGAGACCTTTACAAACACAAGATGATGCTTAACTTTATGCCCACTAGAAGGTCGGTGTCTCGACTGACATGCAAATCAGCCTCTTACTCAGGGGGGCGTGTGTTTGAAATCTGAGTGATGTACTGCTTTGAGATTTTAATATTGGATCTCTCAAGCACAGATTACTTTGAATATTCAAACTCTATTTTTTTTTTCAAAGACACGAGAAGGAAAGGCAGCAGCTGAGGATGATGTCAGAGGAAATGCCCAGCCTACAGGGGACAGAACGCGCCAGAGGAGCATCAAGCAAAACGGTATCCAGGATTCAGGATCCTCTAAAGGCTTCTTGATTTAACTTTAGGCCCTTGCAAAATAAAATAAAAAAAAACTAGAAAAAAGATTTTTTTAGTTACATGTTACATCCATAAGCTTCAGTATTTTTGTAGGGATTATATAGACCAGAAGTCAGTAAGTCATTTTTTCCTTTGTTCCATCCAAAGACCTTTGTTCTGGAGCTGCAAAACTTACACGATTCTGCAAACAAGACTTAATAAATACCTTCAAAATATTATTTAGTGATGAAAAAAACAAACAGTGAGCAATGACAATATTCATACATCCAGCACTTCCCTCTGTATTATTTATGTGCTGATTAAATAAGTATATTTTAAATGAAACAGAATAATAAGAACTACTGCAGTGTGTGCAGAGGATTGCAAGCAAGCTAACTTTACTGCAAAAACACAAAAGCAAAACAAACAACAGCTCTCGTTACTCAAGTCCAGTCATTCATCATTAAGTGCTGTTTAAAATAATTGGATCGTTCATGAACGTCACATCTCTAAAATTAAAGTTAAATTAACCATAATTTTACTTATATTCTGAGTTTTTAGCTGAAAGACAGATATTTATTGAATTTATGTTGAGATTAGATGACAGACAAGTTGACACTGTTTTGATAAAGTGGATCATGAAGACAACTTTTAAGAAAATTGGTCTGAATCAAAAAAAGGAAAACTGCTTCCTTTTCTTTTCACTGAGGAATTGTGTGTCATTCTAAAATAAAATTTAAATATAACTTAAACAGAATGGTGGTTGCAACATGACAAAATAAAAAAAAAAGATTCAAATTGGCTACGTATTGCAAGGTGAAATTCTTACAAAAAAATATTCTTGGGGTGAAATAATCTGATCAAATGTCAACTGGTACTTAACTACCTCCCTTTGTAACGCAGAAATATCTAGAAGAGTACCTGAACGATCTGCTGGAGAACGGATTCTGTCGAAATGACCGCAGCATGGTAAATTTCCAAAACATCTTTTTTCTTAAAAGTTTTATCGGCTCAATTAGACTTTATCTGTCGCCTCATTGCCGTGCCAAAGCATCTTTTTTTCTGATGTATTCAGCGGATGTTACACAGTCTACAGTCAAATTTCATGATTACATTCCTTTTGTCTTTTTCAGCTTGAATTCCTCTCTGTCAGTGCCCTCTCTTTTGTCACTGAACTGGGGCCAAAAGGCCTGTAAGTAAAGAAAATGTTTGAATGAAACAGAGACACTTAGAGAGATGACTGGACGATAAAGGCTTGTTGTGATGTGCGTGTGGGTTTGTTTCAGGGAGGGACCGATCATTAAGAGGTCGGGTGGCCATCGTGTTCTGGGTCTGAACTGCATCGGCCACCATCGGGTGTGTTTTCGCTGGTCACACCGTTGGCTGGTGGTCAAAGACTCCTTCCTTTTGTATATGAGCCGGGACAACAATGAAATCAACTTTGTGCTGCTTTTTGACCCTGAGTTTGAGGTGAAAGTGGGTCGTGCCGAGACTGGAACAGAATATGGAGTGTGCATTAAGAACTTCACACGGTGTGTGTGCTTTTCTTTTTTATTATTATGTCTAGATCTTATCGTTTTTTTTTTTTTTTTTTTTGCTCATTTTACTTCTCTTTTGTTTTTCTTTTAACCAGGGATTTGATCATTAAGTGCAGAAGCTACAGACAAAGCCAGTGGTGGACTCATGAAATCAACCAGCTGGCTCACTCTTGTGACTTTCTGAAAGTCCACCGTTTCCAAGGCTTTGCTCCACCGCGAGAAAACACTCTTACTAAATGGTCAGATCTCTGATCCACACATGACTCTAACACTCACAGTCAACTCCTGTCGTTCCTTTCAATTATTTATTATAGTTCATTGGTTTTCATTTCAGGTATGTGAATGGGAAAGATTACTTTGCAGACCTGGCTGATGCCCTTGAACAAGCAAAGCAGGAGATTTTCATCACAGATTGGTGGTAAGAGAATAAAGAGATTTATCTACTCCATCAACCTGTGCCACTTTTAAAACCACAAACTTTCTTTTGTTTTACTGGGATTTGGTGTTGTGGACCAACCCAACATAGTACATAGCTGTGAAGTGGACAGAAAGTGATAGATGTTTTTTTTTCTTCCATATTTTGTGTTAAAGCAAAAATCTTCTCTCAATACTCTGATAACCCTAAGTAAAGTTAATTGCATTGTTGGTCAGTAAACAAAGTCTTAACCAGGGCTCTTTCTGCATGTTATCCCTCTTCACTTTATAAACTTTGATATTTTCCCACTGTTAAGGTATTGATTTGGATAAATTGCCCTTTGGTATGAGTGTGTGCAGCTCCAGCAAAACATAAAAAAGCAGCATGAAAAAGCAGGTTAAGCATCTGTCATCAGAAAAATGAAAAAATAAGAATAAGTAAAATATGGCACAGCTTCTAATTTATTGACACCTCCACCCTAAGCTGACAGACCAGGCAAGGAGAGTATTATTTAAAGAGGCACCCATGTGACCTATGATAACCATCCATCTAAAATGACTATAAGGGCAGAATAAATTTAGGAGGTGCAAATATTTACAGATCAGGTGGAAGAATTTGTTGGCAAGACATCTATTAGTTTTGCCATAAATCAAACATTTTGTAATAGAGTTCAGAGACGAAACCTATTGCTGAAAGAAAACCGTTAGAGGTTCTGCTGGCAGTTTGCCACTTGCCATGTAGTGACAAATGGCAGAAGGTTCTTCAGTCATATACGAATAAAACTTACACTGCTCACCACCCTAAACAAACTTTCTCTAGGGTGAAACATGGAAGTGGCAGGAACAGGGAATGTGTTGATGGAACGATGAATGGAGCTGAAAACAGGCCAATTCAGAGACAAAACCTCCTTGAGCCTGGTGCAGAATGTCACCTTCCTTAGGTGGTTTAGATTAAAAGCCTAGATTTATTTCTAAATCTGTGACAACAGCTGAAACTTTATGTGCATGAATAAGGTTCTGAAATGTTGAATATGAACAGAGAAAGGTCTTTGGATATGAAACACTGGTACCAACACACCCCTAGATACTTATAGCTACAGTTTAGCATCAAAACATTTTATTTTGAAGGTGTTACTTCCTGTTGAGTCAGCAGAATGACTGGAGAATCTGCTGATGTTATGGCTACCCTGTTGCCAAAACATCAACAGACACCACACTTTTTGCTATGATTTTTTTTTAATATACAAAACCAGAATCTTTCTTTTACTTTGCAGTTAAGCAGAACCTCATGTGGTTTTCCACTTAAAATTTGCAGTGGAATATCTTAAGGCTTTTAGTTGTCACATGACAAAATGAAGAAAAGTTGAAAGTGATTTTGTAAGATACAATATCATAAAAGTTACATTCCCAAGGTCATTAGCTTGCAGAATGATTTTTAATATATTTTTTTATTTTAATCTCTATCAGGCTGAGCCCGGAAATTTTCCTCAAGAGACCTGCCACCGATAACTACTGGAGACTGGATGAGATACTAAAGCGGAAAGCAGTAGGGATTCATTCTCCTCTAATGAAACACTAAATAGTTTTTTTTTCCAATTTTAAACTCAGTTGTTTTTGTTTCCAAACTATATTGATTTGTTTATCTGTAGAGAGAAGGAGTCAAGGTTTGTGTCCTGCTTTACAAGGAGGTGGAGATGGCGCTTGCTATCAATAGCGACTACAGCAAACGGACTCTGATGAACATGGATCCAAACATCAAGGTCTGTGATCTTCTGGGGTTAAACTGCTGTGCAGAGTTACATTTGTTTGTTGTGCTCGGCTAACAGTTAGGTCACCTGTAATCCATCAGGTGATGCGACATCCAGACCACGTTTCATCTGCGGTGGTCTTGTGGGCTCACCACGAGAAGATGGTTGCCATTGACCAGACGGTGGCGTTTGTTGGGGGACTTGATCTGGCGTTTGGGAGATGGGATGACAGAGAGTATCGACTGGCCGACCTGGGTCAGGCAGATATGTTAAACGGGGGAACGGGGGAACATCCAAACAAAGATGCAACTGTAAGGATGTGCCCTATCGGGGTTGATAATTGGTGTGCCATGTATTTTTTTTTTACTGTAATTTGTGCATCAGTGTGTAGCCAGAGTCCTAAAATAGTGACTCTGTTAAACAGGACAATGGTGTGGCTGATGGCCAGAACGCACATAACCAAACAAAACAGGATCCAACTAATCTGGCTGGTAACACTAAACTGTGGCTTGGCAAGGACTACAGCAACTTCATCAAGAAAGACTGGACCCTCCTGGACAGGCCATTTGAAGGTACTATAAACCTCTTTCAGTATATATGGAAGGATAGATCTGAAAAAGTTTACACAACTTATTAAATTCTCTTGTGATGTAAGAACAAGAAACGTTTGTTAATGTGGCAGATTCTGTATATTTCAACTGAAAAATAAATTAATAATGGTAAAAAAATAAATTAAATTGTAGACACCCTCTTAAGTGAGTGTCCACATTAAAATCAAATAGGTGGCTCAGTAAAACGACCAGCGTGGCAAGAAGCTGTGACGAATCAGAATAATGATGAAGATGTAAACAAGGTGCAATCAAACATGTTGAGGCTGTTTGGCAATTACTTCAGTTTTGCATGGCGGACATCATCATGACACACTTTACTTAATCCAGTTTAGATCCAATTATCAGTTTATTTCTATCAACTGATTACTTGGTGAAATATTTGCTTTTTCTTATGTGTATGTGTTTTATTTTGTTTCATGTTATCAACCCATCAAACTAGACCTTATTGATATTTTGCAGGAAGATTTAGAATGTAAAAGCAAACTTTAAAAAAATAAATAAATAAGAGTTAGATACTGCTGCTCTAACTCTCAGACCCAAACCAGTTGCATGTCAGACCATGATGATACTGGTGTCATCATGACAGTTAAGAAGTTAAGTCCACTCTAAAAATACAAAGCGCGTTTGAGCTAGAGGATGACACTAATACCATTTTTATCTTATTCTTCTTTCAGACAACATTGACCGCACTACAGTTCCTCGCATGCCTTGGCGTGACCTGGCTACAGCTATGCATGGCAAAGCTGCCAGGGACGTTGCCAGACACTTCATCCAGCGCTGGAACTTCACGAAGGTCAGGTTTTAATGCTTATATTATTAACGTTTTGAGTTTTATGAACATGAGGGTCATGCTATGACTGGGCTTTCACTGTGAAAGTGTGTTTTTATTTTTAGATAAAAAGAGCAAAAGTAACTTTCAAAGTAAACTTTACTGTGTAATTCTTCTCTTTTTGGATTTTGAATCCATGCATTCAAGTGTTATGTCTTCCTCAGATCTTCAAAGTCAAGTACAAGGATAACTTCTACCCTTACCTTCTCCCCAAGTCTCACACTGAGGCAGACTCGTTGCCATTTATTGTTCCTGGATCCCAGAAAGCCAAAGTTCAGGTAGTTGATTACACATACACACACTCACACACACATGCACACCTTGTATGTCTTTCTATTTTCACAGGAACTTTGCATTGACTTCCATACATTTTTCATTCATTTCTATAGATTAACCCTAAACCTACATGCCTAACCCTACATCTACTAGAAGAGTTTAATGAGCCGTTTCACTTTGTTGTTTTCGCTGCTTTGACAGTTCAATAAAACATTCTGGAAACATGTTTGAATTGACATTCAGTGGCTTTTTTTCATACCAGATGAAGTAATGTGTGCATGGATTTACCAAAACTGTAGCAATATCAAGGAATGACCAACACCTACTAAAGTCTTTCTCTCTGTTGCTGCAGTCTGAATAAAGTTGAGCTACTTTCAAAGAATATCTAGTTTCCTTTTAAACAACTTAATATACCTCTGCGCCTCCTCTGACTTCAGTTTTAAATACCTCATTCATTTCAAAAAAGGCTAAAAAGTTATTTCCAACGTAACAACTTTTCCACCAACGTTGTGGCCTGTATGACTTGTAAGCAGCTAAATATAATCAGGTCAGTAACACGAAAAAGATCTTCGGACCACCAGTCAGGGTATGTGATTTCAGAGGTTTTATGTAAACATTAAGTAAACTATATAAAGACTGCTCTGCTGTCATGTCCTAGTAAATCTCTGAATTTAGGAGTGGATTGCATCTCTCATTCAAAAAAGATAGTAGCAAAACAAATGCCTCAGTAATTGGACAGTACCAAAGATGGGCCTGACATAAACCAGACTCTCTTGGTCCAATACAACAAAGAAAAATCCCAGAGGCTTTACTTCAGACGGTAGAGTAGAACCTCTCTGAACGCCAGAAAGCGATGCCACATTACAGTGGATGTTTCATATTATAATTTAGGAAGATTTGGTGATGTAGGTGTGATGTGAGACAGGCCGTTGAAACTGAGCTTGAATGTCCCTCCTGACATTGTCCCCAGATTAGATTTACACTGGAAATCAGACGGATAACCTTGCAACAAAGAGACACTGTTCTGGCTTCTGAAACACAGCATTCAGTGTTCACGGTTCTTACGCTGTGGCAGATGGTAGAACAAAAGTAAAGCCTGTAGAGTAAAATTACTCTCCCGCATTTTTGTACTCGTCTGCAAAGCCAGAGAAAACACTATCGAAGAGTGGGACAGAGAGTAGAAGCATCTTATTTCCAACAGGAATCTTTAAACCTGCGGTTTAGATTAGAGAACAGGATAGAAACTTTCCAAATGAATAATAATGACAGAAGTGCAAAGAAATCATGACAACATTAATGTGGAAGCAAGCTGACTGGCAGAGACCTGCTGTATTGAATGGCTTGTTTAAAACTGTTCAAACATTGAGCATTGGGCATATACGTTCAAAAAGCATTAGCTGCTGATGTATGTATGTTCTTTTATTCCAGTGTGGGCGGTGGTCTGTAACTGTAACACTCGTGGCCCCATTATGTTGTTGTTTTCCTGCTTGCTATTGTGGCTGCTTTATTCAGGTTTCAAGGCTCTCTGGTTACATTTGATGTTGCTGTTGGCGCAGGTGTGCCGCTGTTCACTCCACCCGCCAAGCATCCTTAAAATTAGTGGAAGTAATATTGGATTATGTTTGCTAGATTTAGATTCGCTTCATTTGCAAAAACAAAACACTGGTCTACTGGAAGTGTTCATCTGCTTTTGCAGTTTTATTCGGAACATTTCTTCTAAATTGTCCAGCAAGAATTGAGAGCTTTGGGAATTTGTGTGTCATTTCCTCAGGTGCTGCGCTCTTCTGAACGTTGGTCAACCGGAAGCTGTGAGAACTCGATCCTTCAGGCTTACATACACACCATTGAGAACAGCGAGCACTACATTTACATTGAGGTAAAAACTTATTTATTAAATCCTGCATATTGGCAGTGCTGGCAAAAGCTACATTTCAAAAACATTGCATCTCTAAATAGTTTTATTTCAGTCACAGTAGACCTGATTCAGATTTTTATTTATTTTTTATTTGACATTGTTCTTGCTGCCTTTCTTTAAGATGGTCACATATAAATTGATATTATCATAATTTTTATTTGTGGAGTTACAAGTAAGGTGCTTTATGAGATATGTGTCTAAAACATATTTATTTTAATTCTCTGGCAGATTTGGTGCCTAATTGAGGTTTGCTCTTTGCCAGCTTCCTATCTGCTTTTGCCCTCACCTCATACTGAGTCACCATCTGCCTTTTCTCTGCCCTTAGAACCAGTTCTTCATCAGCTGTGCGGAGGACAAGGTCATCCACAATACGATCGGGGATGCAATCGTAGACCGAATCCTGCGAGCACACAGGTGGGATTTCTCTGACAAGAGAGATGTAAACTAAGATTTTCTCAAGTTTTATTGGCACATTTATGTAGAGCCAATTTTTAAAAGTTTAGGTTAATTAAAATTGTGCTTCAGCTAATAGAAGGTTTGATATAAGAGTTTTGTTTATCACTTATTCAGCTTCTCACTAAAATAATGGCAAAATTATTTTTTGCCATTATGAAGATATATTAAAGGTATTAGCCGTATTTTTCTGTGCAGTCAGTCCAGATGTAGTTTTCCATCTACAGAACAAGTCAATGCAAGTTTTTTATGTCTGGCTTGTAATTTGATTGTAAACATTATGTATTCAAGACTAACTCTACCTGTTAAACCAGTTCCTTGTGTGTTCAAGCCTCTGGTTTCATCTCATAAGAGATAAGGCAATTTTTAGAGTTCTTTTATCACGTTTAAATTTTTTTTTATCAAATTCCACTTTTAAAAAGTATTTATGTAACTGCGAAACATTTGCGTTGCATATAAGGAGACCTGCAGGTTTTATTTAAATAAAAACAACAATGAAACCTGAAGAGTGGTGCCAAGTGAAGAATACCATTACAAGTCACAGTTCATGTCAGAATGCATCATAGCCATTATAGTTACACTCTGTGTCAAATACTTATAATTAAAACCCTTTAAACTCAAATTCAACTTGAATGCGTCAGGATCTATGTCAAAATCTTGTCACTCATTTGTTATCCTGCTTTTTTATACCCACCTGATTGATCCGTTTGCCTCTTGCAATCAATCCAAATGCGTTCAAACTGTGTTTTTATTTTCTTTTGTACACTTTAAAAGTAAAAAAAAAAACACCCACCACTGGATGTTAGTATCTTCAAAGTACTATCTGTGCAACTGGAACCAATCAGCCATTGTTTTTCCCTGCAGAGAGCAGAAGAAGTACAGGGTGTTTGTGGTGATTCCTTTGCTTCCTGGCTTCGAGGGAGACATTACCACTGGAGGTGGAAATGCAATTCAAGCCATTATGCACTTCACTTATAGGTGAGATCCTTCTCCTCGCATTATCATTCTACTCTCAGCCCACAGCACAGAAATAGAATAGAAAATGCACTTTTCACATCCTCAATGTCTCTCAGCATTGAGAGACATTGAGACGTATTTTCTTTCATGATAAAGTTACTCAACGTATAAATGTATAGGTTTATTTATCCTACTAACCCAAAAATGCTGAATTATATTTCTGATGTTTGTGTAAGGACTATGTGCCGTGGAGATCACTCGATTCTGTCAAGGCTCAGTGAGGGTACGTTTTTTCTGTTTAGTTTATCATTTGAAAATCAATCTACTGACCTTTTGTTAAAAATCTATCTTCTGCTTGTCTTTCTGTTCCTTTACTTGTCTATGCACATCAGCGTTCTGATGTGCATAGTGCATAGAAATTTTCTTGATTTCTTTCTACTTTGATTTTGTAAGAAGCTCTCACGTCTGTTTCTGAATCTTCCCAGTAATATTTTCTACAGTAAATAATGTGATTGTGATCTATCCCCCAGTGAAGGACCAGTGGACTGAGTACATCACGTTTTGTGGCCTCAGAACGCATTCCCGGCTCTCCGAGAAACTGGTCACAGAGCTGATTTATGTTCACAGCAAGGCACTCATTGCTGATGACCGCTGCTATATAATTGGTGAGACACTGACAACAAACTCATTCAAGGAATCCAGTCGGTTGTTGGAGAAATTATGTAAATTGCAAGTTTTTTGTATTTTTTTTTTATCCCCGTTATTTTTCATAAATATCTCAAGGACAAAAAATAAACAAATGTAAAGAAAATATTAGCCCTCCAATATTTTATTATTATATCTTGTCGGACCAGAGAAAAGGGAAGTAGCAATCCGCTGTGTTAGCCAAAAGAAAACAAAACAGATGTGCCAGATTTAATGTTCAATTGAAATCGTTTTTGCATATTAGAAAAATGTTTGTAAAGGTACCCATTAATCATGACTGAACACAAGAAAAGTTAAAAATACATTGAACCAGTATTACTGCTTTTAAACAAATGCTTTAAAAGATGTCATTTAAATGAACCTCTTGTTTCTATGTGTGTTTCAGGATCAGCCAACATCAATGATCGCAGCATGCTGGGCAGCCGAGACAGTGAGCTGGCGGTGCTTGTGGAAGATCAAGAGAGGGTCCCATCCATCATGGGAGGACAGGAATACGAGGCAGGACCCCTTGCACTTGCTCTGCGCAAAGAATGCTTCAGGTCAGGACAGAACATTGTTACTGAGATAACACCCCAGTAACGACCAGGGCTTTTTGTTTATTTGGAGTCTCAAGCTAACAAAACTGTCAAACATTTAATATGCAGCGCCACGCAAAAAGGTAGCAATACAAGGATGAGTTTCTCAAGATCTTGCTGGGACATTATTCTTTTAGTAATATACTCTGACTTAATCACAAAACCCAAATTTTGGGCCTGATCAGCAGTTTCTCGCTGGGCTGCGTGCTGCCTCTTGATTCTTCCTCTTTCTGTCAAAAAAGAATTAGTTTGGTTTAGTTTCTGTTCACCTAAAAAACGTTCCGACACAACCATGCAATGATTAGTTTTAAGCATCTGCTCAGTGCCGGAATGGGTTCATAGTCACATAGGGCCTCATAAATAAACAATGTGCACACAAAACATTCTGCAGCACAATATGTATGGCAGCAATGCAAACGTTTTCAGCCGACCACAACAAACCACAAAACCCCAAACCACCCCTAAATACACTGAAATATGAACCCATTCAGTGTTATTTAACTCTGAATAACCTGTACCTAAATCCTAGCACACAATCACAGCATCAAACCCAATGTTTCTTCATGGATTTAAACTATTACTGTTTAAATTTAAACGATGAAACTGAACCACTTATTGCCTCGTACATTAATGTAACACGGACCAAAAAGATTATGTGAAAACCTCAGTCGGATGTAGGTAGTAAATTTCTTCTTTTTGTTTCATGTAGAGGTAAATGCACATCGGCCTGCAATCAGTCCTCTTTTCAGATCCCTGTTGAATATAAATTAGTTCAAACAAGCATTCTCACTTTAACCGATCATGATGTCCCATTACAACATTTACTAAACAATAAAAGATGTTTAAGTAGATGGTAACCTCAAAGTGGGTAAATAAGATTAATAAATTTTCAGAATTTATTATTATTATACTGTATAATCCCAATATAATACAAGTTTGTAATTGTAATGTAAGAAGACATGAAAATGTTCAAGGCTTACAAATATTTTTGCAAAAAGAAAAACAGCTTTGTTCTGTGTTTTGGAAACTTTCTTTGATCAGCACTTTGTATTGTTCAGTTGCACTCTGTTGAACTTGCAAGCAGCATTTAAGTTCTGTGCTGCAACAGGGTTCTGACTGGAGCAACTTCAGACCCCAGCATCAACATTGATGACCCAATCAGCGATGACTTCTTCTTCCTCACGTGGAATGAAACGGCTAAACATAACGCCAACATTTACGACAAGGTATGATTGAACGCAAACGACGCATTACTACTGTCTGCCATTAAGATGCTACGACCCAATTCCGTTTTTTTTGGGGGGGGGGCAGGGGGGGTGGTTTGTCAAATGCAACTTGTATGTGTTCTCAAGTGTGAACGGCAAATGACCTGAAAGTGTCCTGCATGCACAGTAGAGGGCGCAATAACTAAGTGTTCTCAATGTTTTGCCAACCACCATAAAGAAGAAGAAGTGTTCAGTGTTTGTGGAAGTAAACGCAGATGCTAATGGTGGAGCTAATGTTGTCACTGTAATAACTTAATCTTCTAGTTATTAAAACAACAATGAAATCTTCTTGTCCGCCATGGTTGTTGTATCAGGGTGTAGAATAGTGACGTTTGTCGAGTGTCAATGAAGGTCAGGTCAGATGAAGGAGACCTGGACTTTAGGTCACATTTGAAAAGACAGGTCGGATACGTATCAGATATCCAAGTGGCCTGGATCGCATTTGAAAAGAATCTGACCTGCTTTCTTCAGACTGTCATGAAAAAATCAGATACAAATCGCATTACGTCAAAAATATCGAAATTGGTCCTGTTGGGCTGCAGTGTGAACGCAGCCATAGTTTCGGGTTTCTCACCTCTCCGTTCTACTCGTCAGGTTTTCAGGTGCCTTCCCTGTAACAGTGTTCACAACTTGCCTCTGCTGAAGAACTACAGTTCTCAAGAACGCCTCTGCAAGACAGACCCCGAACAGGCGGCAGAGGAGCTGAAGGCCATCCGAGGGCTGCTGGTTCACTTTCCGTTGAAATTCCTGTGTGAGGAAAACCTGCAGCCTCCTCTGAACAGTAAAGAAGGGATGGCTCCTACGGACCTTTGGACGTAACCACATGTTTGCCTTGATCAGGCCACTACAACACTGATACAGTCGTCGCTAACCTGTACCTAAATCCTAGCACACAAAACGAATTGTAACACCAGCTCCCACATTTATGGGTCAAATTACTTAAAGTTTTATCATTTGATAGAATAATAGACAAACCTGTACTGGCCAGTTTATTCATGATGTCCATCACGTAACTTCTATGAACCAACAGTAGACAATATTGTAAACTCATATATGTGACTTATTGCATAGCTGCAAGGTTAGACTGGAAATCAACCATCTCCCATGGTCTGGGAACATAGTGTACATTTAGGGGAGCAAGATTTGTACACACACACACACACACACACACACACACACACACACATATATATATATATATATATATATTTTTTTTTTTTTTTTGGTGGGTGGCTCTGTCTCTTCCTCTCTCCAGCACTCTCTCTCTCTCTCTCCAGCGCTCTCTCTCTCTCCAGCGCTCTCTCTCTCTCTCTCCAGCGCTCTCTCTCTCTCCCGCGCTCTCTCTCTCTCCAGCGCTCTCTCTCTCCAGCGCTCTCTCTCTCCCTCTGAAGCTTCACCTCTCGCTGCAGCGCCAGGAAACCTGTCAGAACATTTGTGGTTGTTATGGTGACTGATATAAAGAGATGACTGGATCGCAGCTGAAATAAAGGCTCGATGGGGCAGAGAAGGAGAGCGCTGATAGGACGGGTGGCTTACTAAATCGGGATGGTGCGCCAGAGTAAAACAAGAAAGCAATATTGCTGATCGAGGATGCGGGGACTAGTTACTTCTGTCATTTTTATATTTAAATGTGAGAGAGAAATCTTGTTAAATTTTACTTTCCTTTTTTTTTTACCGTTACATCCAAATGCAATGCATTCCACCCTCTGTTGGCATTCTGCAGCTACTTCTGTGTCATGTCTAGGAGCCATGACGAGTCTTGTGTGTCTACCTTATGTTATATTTGCTCACGGACATGAGGCATTTGTTGAGGTCCAGCTGAGAAGTTACATAATGTGTCTGACACACTTCATTTTCCCCGACTGCTTGTTGACCAACATGCAAATGTCTTGCCCTGGACCTTTTTTAAAAACATATATTTTGTTTAAAATTTCAGGAAAACCACTACTTACTGCACAACGCCCTGCAAAAATATTCAGAACCTCTGATGTTTGCCACATTGCTACATAGAATATTACATAATGCTATGATTTTATGTGGTTTGTCAACACAAAGTAGAGGTTCTCTCATAAAAAGTAAAAACATTTATATTGTTTAAACATGTTTAGTCCCTAAAAATGTGAAAGAACCGCCTTTACTGATATCCTTAAGTAAAACTGCGTGTACTGATAACTGCTCTTCAGAAATGAGCTGATTCGTAAATTTGAGTATTTTTGCAAGGCACCATGCATTAACTGAATGACAGAAAACAGATGTGTTTGGAAAAAATCTATTCTTCCCCTTTAAAATGTGTTCCCAATTAGATGCACACTTTTAAGACTGGAAGCTCATCAGGTTTTTCAATAAGAAATTAGTGTGTTTTATCACTAAAGGTGTAAAAAAGTCTTCATTGTATTTGTTTTTGTGCATGTGTGTCCAAAGTGGGTAAACAGGATTCACTAATGTTAACAACACCTTGTTGCTTTTCAAGTTGAATTGTGCTAAACTGTCAGATAAGCCAAGGTTAAGTGCACTACTACTTGGTTTCAAACTGGTGTGATAAATATGACTGACAGATGCTTTGTGTGAACTCACGATACACAAAGCTCCTTTACACAGGAGCCAAAAAAAAAAAACATCTGTGTTTAGACACAGTACTCTCCTGGCTTCAAAAATAGTCACACCATGAAGCAAAAAAAAACTGAATCTTTGCACAGTAGATGCTGGCATTTTTACTGGTTATTTCACGTGAGAAAAAAAATAAATGTTTAAAGTGTTTAAAGTGCTACACTTTGTGATGGGATAGCAGAAATGTCTTTACTGACCAACAAATAATCTTATAATCATTCTGTTTCTATTAACCTAGGAACCAGCCTTAGGAACTAATTTTATGAATGTAGTACTTGAGAAATATATTTCATTACATATTATCAAAAGCTATATTTACATTTTTAAAACCATTTTATATTTAGATATATAGATACAATAAATGGGACACTAACACTCAGGGTAGATATAATTTTAAAATTGTCTTCCTAACTACCATTTTTACTATAAGTTGTGCTGTTTTCCTTATTACTTCATACTTGTTTTTAATTGAAGTTGGATTGATTTCTGCTGTCATATTGTTTTGTAATCACTATAATTTTTTAAACTTCTGTAATCTGATATTTTACGTTTATTTTAATGTGCAATAAAAAAACATTGCTCACATTTATTAGTGTTGGATTTTTAATTTTTTTATTTAAATTTTTTTAGATTTCAGTTGCTTCAGATTAATAGAAGTCTGGTAAGTAGTAGTTTGCTTCAGCTTGTGTGACCAGTTTTACCTAAGAAAGATGAGTTATCTTTTAACAGGACCTTACTGTTATGATTCTGAACTATAACTTTAAATGAGAACGGGATACACTGGGAAACATTCCTGTGACATGAAGCTGCTTAACAAGCACCTTGTACAGTTGCAGTTGCATAAAGGCAGATCTTATCAACACAACTGTGCATTCAGTTTCCCAACTTGTTAAAATTAGTTTTTATGTAGAAACTAATCAATAGCTACCAACAGCTTTTACTTGCTAATTCCGTCTTTGAGCTTCTCTGTGAATGGCGACATAGTGAGAAATACAGGTTAGACCTATAGAGTCTCAATTATGCACGCACTGGACTGTTCTGTACTTTTTAGAGGTGAATCATCCATTATTTAAAAGACTCATTTTCTGTTGAAAACAATGTAGGCAAATGTAGCAGTCATAATCTGGGTCAATGACATCACAATAGCAACATGAAAACAGCTGACAGGGTGGTATTAGTAAGATTTTTTTTTTTTTTCACATTTTGTGACAGACTTCCTGTGAAACTCCATGCGAAAAAAATTCTGAGTAGTGTAGAGCAAGGGGCTGGGGTTCACCAGGTTAGGACAAACTCTAAGGTGTTCAAATTGTGTTTGAGTTGCAAGAAATTTAACCTTCCATTTTTGAGCCTGTGGCACTCATACTTGGTGTTTGTTGGTGATTGATAATGGCAGGAATTGTTCAGAACTCTTAAGTGGTACCGGTTTTTCTGTATTCCTGTTTAATTTTTACCATTCAGTGCATATTCTCTGCTCATCAAATAAGTAAAGACTGATCCTTTTGGAAATTGTTTGTTATTCCAGTACAGTGGCTTTATGCTACTTTACTTTTTTTCTTACTGTTCAGATACAAAATTGGCATAGTTTTTATTTGTGTAACATTTACTTAGTTGTTTTATTAACTAATTTGTCTTTGCGGTGAAAAGCAACATATGGGACAACACTTCAGATGTAGAGAAGAAGGCCCATGAAAAGTTATTATGTGCTTGTACTCCGACACCTGCCTCATGTGATGTCACCAGAAACCTGTCAGTGTGGAAAAACATTTTCAGGACAGTAGATTTTATCTTCATTCTCAAATTATTTCCAGCTAAACAAATAGTATAACTAGGACATGGTGTTGTAAGTGACAAACTGAAAGTCAGTTTAACTGAATTACAAAGAAGTCTGGTATATTGCTTTAATTTGATAGAGTTGGGTGAGTTTATCATACTTTACTTATTAATTGCAAAACACGACCATCATATTAACTTTTTAGGGAGTGTTCAGGTGAGTTTGAATGGATGACTCCGGCATGATAAGCTCAGAGCAGAGAGATCTGAGGTTAAGGTCCACTCTTACAGTTTTTCTTCACACAAATTTGTCCCTACTGCAGCTCCGTAGTCCCTGTCTGGAGCAGAAAACACTTGAGGAGTGCAGTGTGCAGCCAATCGTCATTACATTAAAGGCTGGAAGTAGGAGGCTGGACTTAGGAGTCAAAACATGGCGAAATAACAAGTTTCGCAGGTAGGAGCTACGCCGTACCTGGCACCATTGGACTGCAGTTTCGACAGAGCTGGACGCTGGAGGAGACGACAGCAAACCTTTAAGTTTAGCCAACGGATGGCTTCAGTCTTTTAAGGGTTACGGACAGAGAGCCTGGCTGTGTTTCCCCCCCGGATGGTTGGCAGTGCTAGGCGCGACTGTCAACAGAAAAAATATGGACTGAGAGGGAAAGTTTATTCTGGGAAAAAGCTTGCTAGCTCGGCTACGTTAGCTGCGGGTTGATTAAAGGCACACACCTGAACCAGTACTCTGATTACTTTGCGGTCGGCTTGAAAAAGTGGGAATTTATGATTATTATTTATTCTTTAGCCGTCGTATAAAGTTTGACAGGAAGAAGCAGCGGGCGCTGTTGTTTTTATTTAGTCTTTTAAGTCAAATTGTTCGGCTTGGATTTAACTGCAGTATTCCAGTGCCAGTTTGACGTTCGGTTCTGGTGCGGACGGACCCGGACGCCATCACATCACAGACGTTGCGTTCTTCTTAAAAACAACCACTGCGTTGAACAAGCCCGCACATTTTTTTTATATCAATTTTCAGCACAATTAAATAGTGTTCCTTCGTCAAAATCGGGTAGGAGTTTTTTTTTCTTCCTCATTATTTTCTCTGCTTGCATAATTTTATCAGATGTAATATTACTAGGGATGTTTTACAGCAGCAGAGACGCAGCGTCTTCTTGTCAAAATGAACGCAGCAAGGTGTCCAACAACACTGGAGGTGCGCTGCGTTTAAAACCAACCAGTTATTAGCTCGCCACTAACGGCCGGCTGAATTGGAACGGGGCCATCTTGTTAAAAACATTCGCTGTGTTTCAGTCAGAATTTCTAGCTGCGGAAAACATTACAGCTCTCGGCCGGAGTTGACGTGAAGCTAGCCTGCTGGGTGCGTCTGATGCAGCCCCTGCGATGGACTCGCTGTGTTAAAGTGTTCCGCATTGATACATAAAATCAGTTTTCCTGCATGATATCGACAGATTAGGCTCGTGGGAAGCCGTTTGTTTTTTTCCTGTCAAAGTTGTTCTTGTGTAATAAGTGGCTAACTTGTTAGCTAACGTCATAAGTTTGGCCAGCTATGTCTGAAAACGCCCCCACACGAAGCCTGGATGACATAGACCTCGCAGCTCTCAGGGTGAGTATTATTACTGTCATTATTGCAATCATTGCAAGATGCAGTGATTTAGTCGCAGCCAATAGTCTCTTTAGATATTATGTCATTTTTGAGTTTTCCCTCTGACACAAGCACAATCATGTTGCACCCACGCAACAAACTTAATACCGACACCCCCCCAACCCTCCCCGGGCTGTGTGTGCTGTGGGCAGCTGGGATGTTTACAACCACAAATCACAGCATAATACATCTTCTGATTTATCAAAATATTACACTTTTATGCTTCCTAAGAATTTAAAGGTGTGTTTTTTCTATAATCATCCAACCTTGAACCATATTGTCAAAAGCATTGTAAGGATTTCAATTGATTTGAGAGTGAGACTTTTTTTAAAGTTGTATTTTTAGGCACTTTTCTTGTCCCATTCAGACTTTTAGGGCCATAAGTACCGCCACATGCTTTTTTTTATGATAAACAATAAGGTTCTGTGGTTTGATATTTTAACCACTGGCAGGGTTTTTTTAGTGACTTTACTAAATTTTAGTTATCTTTCTTTACTTTGCTTAGTTTATGCATCTTTGGTAGGTTTGTGATTGAAACGAATCATTATGAAAGTTCAATGCTAGCCTACTTTATCCGTCTAAAAACTCATTTTATGTTCTGAAACACTCAGTTGTGTTCAAGCTTCAACCATCAAGCTAGCAGTTAATTTGAGTTGAAGTTAAATCATTTGGAGGTAGTAAGTAGTTCTTTTCATTACTCCATCCACTTTGTGCTGTGTATCAACATCAAACCCCATCATCTCTGGCATTTGATACAGTGTTCTGAGATTTGAACGTCTCATCTTCGTTTGTCCAGTTGGACTGTTGCATTGAAACCAATTTTTAATGTTCAAAATAGGTGCACGTTAAGCTTTTGGAAAAGTAATAACCATGTTGAAAATGTATGTAATGGGGTTAGAATTCATGTTCATGCAGCAACAACAAAAAAAATACAAATTTAAATTTAGTTATTCTGAAAAAGGGAAGTTAGAAATGCCCACACCTTGTTATTTGCTACAAAAATAATGTAGCTTTGCTACATTTTGCATAGAGGTATATGTTTATTTTTGTATGTGAAATGAGTGTAGTGGCTGATACACTGATATTGGCTTTAGGAGCTGTAAATGTATGGACCTTAGACAAAAGGTAGAGAATTACTAAATGTGATACAGATCATATTTGACCTTCCTTTTTTTTACTTTTCGGTGTTGTATATCAAAATCTGCGTCCCCAGATGCTTTTGTGGGAACAAAAGAGATTCGTTTTAACATTCCTGCATGTCCATCGGAGTTATTCTGTTCTTCAACACAAATCCATCTAAAATGGAAAATTGTTTAACCTCTTCCAAAGGCATCAAGTGGCACTATATTCCACAAGATGCTAGCTAAACTCACAATTGGGGGAAAAAAATAGGTTCTTTCCCTCTGCTTCTTAGATCAAGAAGTTAATTTCCTTTTCCCTTTATATTATTATTGGTACAAGATGTTTAGGTCCACTTACTGCTTCAGTCACTAAAGTATTGCTTAAACTTGATCTGTTTGCTTCCATTTTTATTGTAAGGTTTTATCACCAAAATCTACTTAGCCAGCAGCACCCACCAGAGACAAGTGTGAAAATGTTCTTGTGATTTTGGAAATTGACCATGTAGAGTTTAATTAGAAACAAAGTTAGGCAGCCCTCATGATCATCATTCTGTTTTCTTCCCTTCAGTTGTATTTGTTGGTGCTAGGCTGTTTTCCAACAGGTGATGGCAACAGGTGTTGATTAATGGAATACCATGCAATCACACGAACTGCATTGTCCTCGAGCCAGTCGGTTTTGCTCTCTAACCTGATTATAGCTGGAGGAACATGGTTGAAATATTTCAAATATCAACAAACGTCTCCGTGGCTCGATCATAATATTTCAAAATACGAAATATGTTTATGTAAAGTCTTGCAGCACACATTTCTTAACAATTTATTTGAACAGGATTCTTTTATTTTACAACATTAATTTATCTAAAGATTGGTGTTTTCAGGTGACATTGTTGGCTATATTTTGAGGATTAGGACCTTGTGATCTAATCTGAATCTGAATTGGAACATAAGTTTGATAAATTTGTTGCTACACATCTAGAAATACATTCTTATGTTCTAGATTTACGCTGAACTTTTGACAATGTGATATCGGCTAATCAAAAAAAAAATCACACCAAATCTTTAGAGAATTAAGCTTTAGAAAAATTAAAATGTGTTTGTTTTAATTAAGCACTTTGTCAGCCTTTGTGTTTGAGTCTAATGACTGGAGAGTAGCTGTAACATTCTAAAATAAATTTAGAAAAAATAAATAATTTGACTGTTTTAGCCTTTATTTTTCTGAAGGATCTGTAAAGATTTTCTGTTTATTTCTTTTTCTAAATGTCGGCTAAATGATCAACTTACAGGAAATTTGATATTTACTTCCTTTAGGAGCTTCATTCCCTTTCTAAATGTTTTTTTTTTCTACTGCTAGCTTATCAAAGCTTTAGGTTACAGCACAATAAGCAGCTTCATTTATCTCCACTATTTTAACAATAAACATAATATGACCACGAATTATTAGCATTTATCTGTGGCCACCCTAGCTGAACACATTTCCCTCCCTTTTTCTTGTTGTTGTTTCATTCTTCTTCTTTTTTTTTTTCAAAGCTGATTTGCTTATGCTAATGTTTGAATATAAGTGTACCCTTCCCCTTCTTTTGGCTCATTCGTCTCATCCCACTCTCTGTGCCAGATGTGGGTGAAGCAGCCACCTCTGCCTCATCGCCCACTCTGTCATCACATTATTCCTTTCCATACCATCTTTCTCTTCCCTCCTGTTTTACGCCATATCTTTTCCTCTTTTGTATCTCTATTCATAAGATCCTTCAGAGTGTTTAACATAAGCTGAACTATCACCTTTAACACCCAATTCATGGTATTTTTTTCTCAAAACTATGATTTTGGTTTTTCACATCCGCCTCTGACCCTGAAGTGAAAATCCTCATTTTGAAGGTAGAAGGTCCATGATTGAAGATAGATGAAAGCAGGATAGGTCATGGTGTACATTTTAAACCCAAGGCAGCAGTTTTACCACCCACACATCTTCTTAAAGCCATATTGAAATTACATGAAAGTGGAACTGCTTGTCATTTTCTCTCGTCTCTAGGGAGAGGGGGTTGCATAATTTAGTCAAAGCAGCCTACTCGTTATTAGTGTCAGTGAAATATGTGTGCACAATGCAGAAATGTACATGGATCAAATCCAGAAAAGAAGGAAAATTCATGTGAGAATTTAGTTTTGTGTCTCATGTACTATAAAAAGTTGAATACACTGTGATTCTTTTCTTTATATTTAAAAAACAAATCCTAATTCAAGGCTTGTTGGTGGGAATAGAAAGGTTAGAGGATCTGTTTGCTGTAGAATGTTTTAATTCTAATTGACTTGAGAGCACAGAGCAGATATCATTTCATTTTATGCTATTATGCTAACAGCTGCGTGGTTAAGTGGAGAATGTACATCAAAGTTTACGGTTATATTCATACTCACAGGTTAGAAAATTAATAAAACATAGTTATCACTGGGCACGTTTATGACTGCATACAGCATCCTTATTGAAGCATTTATAAGAACAGGTGTTTGAGGATGTCTTTTTATTCACTCCTAAGAAACTCCTAAGAAGCCTTAGGAGTAACAAGGTAGCACACAACCTGTCAGTTAATGTATACATGTGGAGGACCTCTTAAAAAAAACTAAATGAACAAGTTTGATGCAAGTTTATTTGTTTTAATTGGAAAATTTTCTCTAGTAGGTGAAACCAAAAGAGCAAACTCAGTTGGCATTATTCGTACAGTAAGATTTTTTAAAATAATCTTTAGGTATTATGTCGTCTTTCTAATCCCAATGTGTCGTTCTTCCAAAGGATCCAGCAGGAATCTTTGAGCTGGTTGAGGTTGTCGGCAATGGGACGTATGGGCAAGTGTACAAGGTGAGCCATTGTGTTAATACATGGACGAATTTACAAGCACCTCTTGTGTGAAAACAGAAGTAATCAGAGCAAGCACAAATATTGGCACTGTTAAATGATCTTTCTAAAATAAATGTACTTGGAGCCTTTTTTTAACAAAAACTTTACTCATTTAGGCTGATCAGAAAACTCTCAAAATTTAAATTGGCAATCTACAACTTTCTGTTTTACTGGGGTATAAGTAAGACGTCACACAGACGCATTTTGTTTTTTACCCATATATCAATAAGGTTAGAGAAGGATCTACAACCATCTACAATAAATGAGTTGGTAATAAATGTTAAAAAAACAAAGATCTCCAATTCTCACTGTTGAAGAAAAACAGAAAGGAGTAGCATTTTGGGGTTGCTAAGTCTCCGTTACAACTATTGGACATTATCTACATGCCAGGCAGTTGACTTGGAGCCATGTCAAGGAAATGTCATTTTGTGTTGCAATTAGAAGTTGAAATGAGGAGTTTTGATTAGCTCTACTTGGACTTTAACTGGAACTGGGTGCTTTTAATAAATAAGATGAAGTTGTAGTTTTCTTAGGAACAAAAACTCTTAAGTGAATCTGATTTTTAGCAAATGATGGGGGGAAGCACTTAACTTATTCACTATTAATCATGGTGGGCGATCTGTGTGAATTTCTTTCTCTTCCAAAGTTTGTGGGCATTCATATTAGAGATGAATGAGAAATTTTTAACCAATTTTTAAATTTTTTTTATAACCAATCCCTGATGAATACTGCCAATGTTTTTCAAGCTGATTCTTGAAGTTGATTTTACAAATTTACATGACAAAAATGATGCATTGGTAACAAATGTTAAACAAGTTTCAGTTGAACAAAAAAAGAGATATTTACAAAAAAAAAAAGGACAGCAGTTGATGAAGAACAGGTACCGCTGTTCCCTCCCGCTCACAGTGAGACAGAGAAAGACCTTTAAACTGCAGATGCAGCTAAATTAAGCAATAAAAAAACAATAAAGACTGAAAATTTTCCTTTCACCCCATTAAATTCAGTCTTAAAACATTATCAGCCTCTTTCTGTCATGGAAGGAGAGGCAATGCAAGCTGTCAGGTGATCTCAAGTAGTGGTCCTGAGAGAGGTTTGACCACAGACCGACCCACCAGATCATGTCTGCACGACTGCTGTTAACAATCGTCACCCCACGTTGATGGTCACCAACCCAGCAACTTTTTTGCTAAATTTAGCAACATTTCAGTCAAAACGATCAGCCAAAATCAGAATAGGCAGGTTAGACTTTTTAAAAATTAGCGATCAACCAGAAAAATTCAACCACCGCACCCCTGTTCTCGAAGTACAACTGCAGAATGCGTTATGGATCCAACTTGTTCCTTACCCAGGGCCGTCATGTGAAGACAGGCCAACTGGCCGCCATCAAAGTGATGGATGTTACAGAGGAGGAAGAGGAAGAGATCAAAGCAGAGATCAACATGCTGAAGAAATACAGCCACCACCGCAACATAGCCACGTACTATGGTGCCTTTGTGAAGAAGAGCCCGCCAGGACACGATGATCAACTTTGGGTTTGTTTACATTTGTATCTGGTCCAGTGACATTATGAGAGCTTTTGTCATTAATCATGCTCTCGTAAAGCGTGTTTGCCTTTGAACAGCTGGTGATGGAGTTCTGTGGAGCCGGATCAGTGACTGACTTGGTGAAGAACACGAAAGGCAGCTCTCTGAAGGAGGACTGGATCGCTTACATCTGCAGAGAGATCTTAAGGGTGAGAAACTGTAGTTTTGACTGTTGGATCAATTATCCAGCAGCCTTTTCCTCTCACTGACCGTGATTGACTTCTTTGTTTGCAAACAGGGCCTTTCTCACCTCCATGCCCATAAAGTTATCCACAGAGACATCAAAGGCCAGAACGTGCTACTAACGGAGAATGCAGAGGTCAAGCTAGGTATGCTGCAATAAAGATACTGAGTTTGTTTTGCTTTAGTAGGTCTCACTGTACTGGTCTCAACCCTCTCAATGCAGTTGATTTTGGGGTGAGTGCTCAGCTGGACAGGACTGTGGGGCGGAGGAACACCTTCATCGGTACTCCTTACTGGATGGCGCCGGAGGTCATTGCCTGTGACGAGAATCCGGACTCCACTTACGACTTTAGGGTAACCGCAGAAAGGCTGTATTTATTATCAGTGCTTCTTTGCTGTGAAAATAAAACATTAACCAGAGGCACTATACGGCATTTATTTTACAGAGTGATATTTGGTCTTTGGGGATAACAGCCATCGAGATGGCAGAGGGAGCTCCTCGTAAGTGAATCTTCTCCATTGACTATAATTTTTTCATTCTACATGTATCTATTCAGCATTTGATAATTTTTCATAATTCTTAAAGCCAGCTCTGAAGACCTCATGAATGAGTGTGTTGTGCTTGCAGCCGTGTTGTCTGTGTCTTCAGATGGACAACTGACTCACTGTAATTAAGGTAGTGGAGTTGTGAGCTGGCAGTTGGCCTGTGGAGGCTGATGGCACATATTTCCATGGTTTATGAGGAGATCTCTGCTGGAAATCTGGTGCAGAATCAAAGATTGAGAGAATAGGGAAGTGTGGCTAATACGCTTGGTAAAGAATGTTTGAGTTAAACGTAGTAGCTTGTTTTGCGACATTTAACCAATTATCGCTTGTTTTCAGATGGATTTGTGTGAAGTTATTTTTTTAATCTGGGCTTAAAGGGTTAACTGTTGGCTTTGATTTGTTTTTAAATGGGGCAACTAATCTGCAAATCATAATAAATCTAACAGAAGACTGCTGTGGAAATCTGGGCCTGTCCGTTCCCATGCCAGGAATGGAATGTGTTGGGCATGGGATGATCTGATGAGCTGATGTAGTGATAACCCTCAGCAGACCCACTGTTGTTATGCTTCTGAAACAGTGGCTTTAAACCGTGTCCTGCTATGAAATCATCACCACCAGGAAAGTTCCTCTGATTCAGTTTTTTATGTCAGAGAGTAGAAAACACTTGAGTGTGTTGAGTGAGATTTTAGTTTTATGCCCCAAAAATATTTATCTACAAAATAGTAGAAAACTTTTACATAGAATAAACACCTGCTACAGTTAAAGTTATTCTTATAATTCCTATGTAAAACCCTTACGCTTTTAGAAAAGTACCCTGACGTTTGGATTAGTTGCCTCAATTGACTGATTATTGTTCCTGACATTTAGTCATTAATCATGCACCCCTTTGAATTTTCTTATCATACTGTTGAAAAATGGCTTTTTTTGCCCAGGGCGTTAAAGGGAGTCGCCTCCATTAGCACAGCTGTCTGACAGCTTGCAGCAACAGATCAGAGAGGGAGTTGTGTATATATTTGGAGAACGGCAGCAGAAAAGCCAGCATCATTATCGTTTGATGTTAAGATTCTTCTTTTATAATATTTGATTCTGTCTTGACAGTGATAAAATATATATTATATTTTCACACCTCAAATCTTATTGTTGGAATTGCTACTCTAATTTTTTTCCCGCTGTTGATTCCATAATATCAGCATTTAGTACCAACAGCTCCATACAGTAAGTATCTGAGCTGTGTTTGTGAGTTTTTGACGGTATGCTGTCTGAGGAATACCATTTATTTCCAAAAAGAAAAGAAATCCCTGTTTTTTCTCATTACTTTTTTGTTTTTCATAAACTTTCTTATAAAAAGTTCTGTGGAAATAAAATTAACTTACTCCTCCTACAGGCCAATCTCACCAAAAAAAAAAGTCTTTATTTCATTATAAGCATGTGGAATATTAGTAATGAAAAAGTTATTATAGTAACTGTAATGAGTTTATTTGGCTGAATCTCAAATCCAAATTAAAACTAAGAGTGTACACTAAACTATTTATTTTAGTTATTTATGAGAAATTATGAATGTTTCTATGATTTATTTTCCCGTCACTGATGGAGACACACAGCTCTGACAGACTGCTGCTATGAGTGACATGCAGCAGGGTATACAGGCCAACTGTCGAGCTGGTGTTGGTGTACAATTATAAATTATGCAGCATGTACTTACGCCATCATTCCAGTGACTGAAGTAGGTTAAAATGGTCCCTTCTATGAAATTCTTGTTTAATTATAGGAGCTGAAGCCATTTCCCAGCTTCTCACTTCATGCCTCAGTGTAAAACTTTAGGCATTTGACCTGTTAAGTTCTCTTGCAAATATCTTTTGTTTTTTGTGTTTGTGCTTGTAAACTAGAATAAGGATACATTTTTTTTCTTTTCTAAAGATGGTGCACTGTTTCTCCTTCTGTACTTGGATCCTCTCCACTGACAGGAAGTTGTTGTCAGCATGCAGTCAGTGGGTGATCCAGCCTTAAAAATGACATCTGAAGTTAGCTGGGATTCTTCCAGATTATTGCGGCCCTTCAAAACATGAAAGGGGAAACAAATCGGATTGCCTTTGACTGTGTCAGTCACGTTGCTCGTTTCCAAAAGACTGCATAATAGAAGCCTGTTTACTGTGAAACTGTGAAGCTAACCAGTCAGGTTTAGCTGCCTACCTACACTGGGAGCACAGTGACTCACAGTCCTTGCTCTTACATTGAGTGTAACAATAAGCCTGAGGCACCAGGAAAGATTGGGTAACAACAGCTGTAACCTTGTTTCAATGCAGAAAAAGCACATATAACGGTGCTTTAAGGTTATTTGCAAACTATGCAGAGTGAAAATAGTTTAACACAAAATGTATTTTGTTCTGCGTTCTAACTTTTTTTTTCCTTAGCTCTCAGCATGGTTAACAGGGATTTAAATCTTATAATCTTCTTTCTCTGTAGCTTTGTGTGACATGCATCCAATGAGGGCCCTCTTTCTGATTCCAAGAAACCCCCCTCCAAAGCTCAAGTCCAAGAAATGGTGAGTGTAAATTGTGTTTCTGTAGAGGACTGCATCTCCTTGCAAATTTAACTGACTGTTCAGATGTGCTTAGATAAAGTGATGGTGGCATTAATGTGCGTAGTGGTTTCAGATTTCTTCACTGTGGAGTTATTTGTTTCAATTCTTTGAGCTGAAATTAATCCAACAAATAAAGTAAATTGTAATGATGGGAAAGCGAAGACAGCGGTATAGAATGGTAATATAATAAAAGGCAGCCCTGCCTTTAATCACTTAGCAATGCAACAGTTAATTGGCTAAAACTCATTAGAAGAGAAGGGCATTAAAGTAAATGATCCTGAGTTGAGCAACAAAGGGCTACATAATTTGCAGAATGTCTTTCGAGACAAGCGAGCATGAGAAGGTTCAGAGATATTTAAGACTTAATTTCTCATTGTTTGTCCAGTCCTGTGTGTTTGCCTCTCCTATTTCTCTCTTTCTTCTCAGCAAGTGAACAATGTTCCCACAAGAGCCAATCTCTTGTGTTTCCTCTCCTGTTCTGATCATCAGAAACATTTTAGGATGCAGTGGCTAATATTTCAGAGAATTTGTTTGCTTACAACCACAAAATGGACTGCTAATTGTTGGCAAATTGGTTTGGAGTATTTAAATACTCAAACAGAACTCCAAAGTGTTCATTTCTCATTCCATATGTCACATTTGCGTCCTATAATGCCTACATCCAACATGTGAAAAGACTAATTACATAAACATAGTATGTATAAATGGAAGTGGTGCAAACACACATAGATGTTTTTATGAACTTCTCTGTCACAATCTATGAATATTGGTATTCTTACCAGGTTGCAGCTCTTAGTTATTTTTTCATATTGGCAACATTTTCACCCTGAGTTGTAAATTACAACTATTTGATCTCTTGTATGTTTAAAGGTCATATGCCATTTGTTAACCTTTCCTTATGCTCAGGCTTGTACTTCAGCGTAATTAAATAATTGCAGTGAGGAGGAGCAAATCATGAGAAATGTAATTTGGAGAGATGACAAATGGACAAATTCGAAAGAAGTTTGGCAAGAGCCCAGGTTCCCTGTTATTCAGAACCATTTGGTAGAATGCTACATTCTGGTAGCATTCACATAAAAAAATTTCTTCTTTGGTTTTCTTATTGTTGGCTAATGAGCACAGTCATAGGTCTGAATGTTTCCACCAGAATAGCCTGCTTAATGTAAACTGTAAATGTATACATTAGGAAGTAATACACTGATTGTGTAAATTAACTTTTCTCCACTCGATGTCTTACTTCATAACTTTGTAACTGACTTTGTGTTTTGGCCTTAAAAGTAACGTTTAGTTGATAACTACAGATGTAATGGATGTAAATTAAGCTAAAGTAGCGCCATATAATCAGACTGCACAATCTGTCAAACAGACTCGCCATCACTTGGATCAGATATTCCATACTTCATAGAAAATGATGCAGTTAAATCTAATTATCAAGGCTAAATTCGCAGTAGAAGTGTTATTGGCTTAATGGGATCTACAGACTTCAGTAGATTCTCTACTGAAAGTGGATACAAAGTCAAACTATACAGTAAAAGAAAGTATTTTCTTGTCTGATATGTGTAATTCTAACAAATTAGCTCTTGGTTGCCTTGGTGGTCTGGCTGTTGACTCCCTGCATCATCTTTCCTAACATCCACAAATTCCTGTTAAAAAGTAGATCTCAATTGAAAAAGTAGTCCTACATAAACTCTTGTTATTGATGATACATTTTTAGACAAACTGATAGGACAGAGGATGCAAAAATAGTTATGTATTAAACTTTACAGATCCAAATGATGCATCATCCATATGTGGCACTAATTTTCCATTTTTAACCGAAGCGTTGCTATTTTTTTAAAATTGCCTATTTGGATGGAAGATTGTGCCTAATATAAATTTTAAACTTTCAATATTTGTTTAATGGATCTAAGATATATTTTCCCCTCTTAGTGTGCTTCTTCAAAGCAAAAAAAAAATTATTTTACTTTTGCAAAAGGAGTTTCCAGAGCTTACACAAATTCCCAGACGATCCAACAGTGTCCTTACAGTCCCGTTACAGTTCAAAGAGTAATATTCTGGTTATTACATGCCTTCCTTGTGCCCAGAGGGATTGTCATTCTTTGATTTTACTTTTCCTCCCAGGTCAAAGAAGTTTATCGACTTTATAGAAGGCTGCCTCGTCAAGACGTATCACAGCCGGCCCAGCACAGAGCAACTGCTCAAGCATTCGTTCATCAGAGACCAGCCCACAGAACGTCAGGTCCGAATTCAGCTCAAAGACCACATTGACCGCACACGCAAAAAGAGGGGAGAGAAAGGTAAAGAGAAGAGACTAAAGGATCATAAAGTGCATCTTGTGTTGCTTTTCAGAAGCAATTTTTGCTTCAGATTTTATTTGTCTTTATTGTTGATCACCCGACAGAAGAGACAGAGTACGAGTACAGCGGCAGTGACGAGGAGGATGAAAATCGTGGAGACGATAGAGAATCAAGGTAACGATTTGATCATTTCTGTTCAGTCTGCCAGTCTAAGTTTTGCAAATGTCCATCCATAATTTAAATTTTGATCATCAGTTCCATCCTCAACGTGCCTGGTGAGTCGACCCTGAGGCGGGACTTTCAGCGGCTGCAGCAGGAGAACAAGGAGCGCACGGAGGCCCTCAAGAGGCAGCAAGCCCAACTGGCCGCCCAGCGCCGAGACCCTGAGGAACACAAGAGGCAGTTGCTGCATGACCGACAGAAACGCATTGAAGAGCAGAAGGAACAACGGCGCCGACTCGAAGAGGTACGGCCCAACTTTTTATCCCTAGTGTTTCACTAAATCGTATATTCTGTTCTTTGATAATTCATGTGGCTTTATACTATCAACCCACCTGTTTAGAGTCACCTTTGATTCGTTGATCAGCATACAAGGTGTATTTGCTTATGCATGTTTCATTATTATATGATGTTTTGTGATGTAAAACACTTTGAACTGCCTTGTTGCTGAAAAAATATGCAATACAGATAAACTTTGACCTTTGTAAGCAGAACTATCAATATTTCTGTGCATTACTGAGATTTGAGAAAATACACTTTGATTGTAGACAAATCTAATCAGGCACCTATTCAGAGGGTCTCTACATGCTAAAATTAATTTAAAAGAAATTTACTTAACATTAATAACACAAGGTTCAACAATATATTTGCATTTGCTCTATTTACTACTCATTTAATTTCTTGTCTTTTTATCAGAGCTCACCAAGAAATCAGCATCGTTCCCCAACACTTTCTTTTTTTTCTTCTGTATGCATTTATAAGTTAGTGTCAGTAGGAACATTTACTACATTCAATTTAAGAACTAGAAACAAATACCAGTAGAAATAACATCACTGGTCAAAACACTTTAACTACACTTTAAGCTACATTTTAAAAGTTAATAAAGCTTCCATGCTTAAATTACTAGCTAAATATAGCTAAGATTTTGACATGTCATAACCACAAATTCAATTTTTTGTCGATAGATCAGTACAGTTACTAATAATCCATGAAGAGCTCTAATCAAGTATTATAGTTCATCTAATATGCTAACTTCAGGAGAAATTGAATTTTGTGTTTTTATTAACTATAAGCTATAATAAGTAAGATGAGAAAGAAATGCTTGAAATACACAATTTTTTAAAATTCATCAGGAGATTATTTATTTATTCACATTACATGCATTTAGTGAAACTTACATAATTTCTCTGAATTTTCTTAAATAAACAAATCACCATGCAGACATAAGAGAAAAAAATGAAAATAGATAAATAAATAAAATAAAAAAAAAATGTATACATATATAATAAGTGGGTGGCATTGGGGAGATAAAAGGTAATATTTTACTTTTTGCTTAGTCACATGATGGATACATAATTGTTTTAATGAATGCTGATTCACGTTTTAAATTATTCAAATAAAATATATTCCAATCTATTGTGATGCACATGTAAAACAAGTCAGGTTTTCACAGAACAAATCGTGGTTTTACTAAAAGATGTTTGTAAATGTGAGTCAGTTCTTTTATTGATTTTTCTCCGACTCTTTACAGTCGAAAGTTGTTGTTTTTCCCTTCCCTAAGCAGTCTAATTCATCTGTGCAAGCATAACCCTCTGCTCATTTCTATCCTTCCTGTCACCTCTCTCCCAGCAACAGAGAAAAGAGCGAGAGATGGTGAGGCAGCAAGAAAAAGGCCCCCATCGGAGACTCGACGATATGAGACGGGAGGAAGACAGGAGGATGGCAGAGAGGGAGCAGGTAACCAACCGCAGCAGAAGCAGAGCTGCGCCCGGCCAATCAGGAGAGGGTGGGGCGTGTCCGCCGGCAGCGATGTGCTAGTTGCACTGGTGGTGAAATTCCGTGAGAGGGTTGCCATAGCAGCAGGGATCTAAATTAGTGTATTTACTCAAAGATGAGATTTCAGTGGGTGAGCTCTCTGCGTCTCTCCATTTCCAGTCTATCCTCGACGGCATCAGAGTCTGGCATCAGAGCAAGATCATCTTTTTAGTGTTGCAAACTTCACCAAATTCACACTGACCTCCTGGATATCTGAATGATGCCTTGCAGCTTATCACATTCTCTGTGTAGTGCTTGCAATTTCATATTTGATATAATCTGTATCTTTTATCCACAAAGGCGCAGCAGCAGCAGCTGTTCTGCTGAAATAATCAGCAGAATCTTTGACTTTTATCAAGTCATCTCTTGCTTTTGCTTGCTGGAATGATATTGTGTAATCTTCTATCTGTGTTTATTTTCCATTCCTCTCCCACATCATTTCCTTCTCTTGTGCCACCACCTTTCCTCTGTGCCCCCTTACCTCGCTGCAGGAGTTTATCAGGCACAAGTTAGAAGAAGAGCAGCGGCAGCTAGAAATCCTTCAGCAGCAGTTGCTTCAGGAGCAGGCGCTCCTTATGGTAACTAGTCATTACCAATGCTTAATCACTTCCTCATTTGCTTGCAGACATTTTCTTCTAGATTACTTTGAGTTATTAAAACTGAAATGAACTTCTGTATTAGTGTGGTTTGCTTCCATTTATGTCAAATCTGCTGTTTATCTCAAAAAGACTTCTATTTACCCAAATTTTCTGAAGAGGTTTGTCCACTTTTGGTTTAGAAGTGTCTTTTTGCTTCGTTTCGAAGTGCTACCATCTCTGCATCTCTGTCTTCAGATTGCTATTGTGGTGCGTAGGAGTTGCTGTCATTAAAAATGAATCTTTGTTTCAGTTTAGAAAGGACATTAGTCAAAAGCGAGTACGCATGAGGCTGATGCATATTAAGTTGTACCTGAAATTATTGAATCCTCCTCCACAAAACAAGTTTATTGGCAATAATGTAGAAATTTCCGGTGCTTTTTCCGCAAACAGATAACAGAAGAACAGCTTAGTCATTAAAATACCATAATTTAATATACATTCAACACTGTGTACAGGCACAGCCTGACGTTGGATGAGGGATGCTGTGGGACAGCTTTGCTACATCTGGTACAGAAAATAGTCTAGAAATGTAATCTACTCTGTAAAGGAGTCCAAAGTTTAGCTGTCATTAGACCTTCCAATAGGAGAATGATGTCAAGATTATCTCAGAGTTCACAAATGTTTGTCCTCAAAAGAACAGCAGTTATTAAAATTGGCCTTTTGTGTTGAATTTTGAAAGAAAAGGGAAACAAGATGGGAATGCTGGACACTTTAGATCTGTGACTGAGATGTTAAGGCTGCCATGACGCACAGATCAATAAATGCTTCTTAAATTAGATTTTTTTTTTTTTGGGTGCTTTTTCTGAAGTCAATTTATTGAAATTTGATACTCATGCTGAAATGATCAATTGAAAACAAGACAAGACGCACACTTTTCAAAAGTAAAGAGAAACATGAATATTGTGAATCACAAAATGAGTCTGTGCATGCTACCTTTTTGAGAATATGAATGTGTCCTGTATGTTTATAGTTTCTTGATGAGAGAAAAAAAAAGCGCTTGGAGAATTTCAATGTCTCAACTTTAAATTGCTCAGTTTCACCCAAAGCACTGGAGCTTTTATATTTCTGTTGTTGCTTTTAGTTATCAAAAATGCTTCCAACTCATGATAAGTTAATGGACTCTCAGACATCATCAGCAGATACCGTAATTCATATAGCAAAATGGGAGTTATCACATTCCTGATTTGTAAAGCATTAGTCATATGCCTCGTTTTCACCGCTGTGCCTTGCCTTCCTCAGGAGTATAAGCGAAAGCAGCTGGAGGAGCAGCGGCAGTCGGAGCGGCTGCAGAGGCAGCTGCAGCAGGAGCATGCCTACCTGGTGTCTCTGCAGCAGCAGCAGGAAAAGAAACCCCAGCTTTATCACTATAACAAAAACCTGGAGCCCAACAACAAACCCACCTGGGCCCGAGAGGTTTGGTTTTGTGTTTTTGAAAGTGTTAGCATGCCGCTAGAAAAGACTCCAAATCAAATCTCTTGTTTTCTTTACTGCAGGTGGAGGAACGAAGTAAACTAAACAGACAAGGGTCGCCGAAAATCTGCACCACCGTGTCTGACACTGCCATCCAGTCGCGCTCGGACTCCATCAGTCAGTCGGGAATGGTCCAGTCTGCACAAACGCCTCCAATGCAGAGGCCAGTTGAACCCCAAGGTGGCCAAGGAAAGGTGTGTGGCTTAAATATGTGGTATAATAAAACCTTGCAGAAGCACTAATATTTCTCAGTCTTGACTGCCTCACACTTGATATCTGGGCTGCTTTATTCATGCGTTTCTATCTTTACTCTCTTTTCTCTTTACATCTTTCTGTTTTCCCATTAAAACTGATACTTTCTACCAACCCCATCCATGCATTTCTCTTCACTTTGACCTACATCTTGGACTATCTTGGGTGCTGCTCCTTGCATTTGGCTGCTGCTCCCGCCTGGCGTTCTGCTGCTCCTGCCCTCTGCAGTTCCAGATGGCTCACTTGGTTCCACTGAAGCCTTACGCTGCCCCTGTCCCTCGCTCTCAGTCCCTCTGTGACCAGCCAACTAAGAACATGTCCGCCTTCCCCACCCAGGACCCCTCCCTCGCCCCACACCCCGCCCCATCCACTCCAGAGAGCTTGTACGTCAGAACTCGGATCCCACTTCTGAAACCCCGGGGCCGCAGTTGCATCAGATCAGGGAGGATCGCGGCCCGTGGATCCGGCTGCCAGATGTCGAGCTCCCACCCAAGGTAAAATCCAACACCTGAACTTCATCTAGCATTTGAAGAATTAAACAGAATATATTAACTCAAAAGGACTCTTTTTAAAATAAAAACACATCTTGCTGTTGCTGTCAGATTCCTCAGAGAACTGCATCCATTGCCACGGCTCTTAACACCAACCTTACCTCTGGCATTAGGCATCCTGTAAGAGCCAGGTACTGATCTCAATATATATTATTTTGCAAATTAAATCATTGTAAACTACGGTTAGTTATTAACTTTAGATTACCTTCATGGCAGCAATCCAGATCTCAGCCGCAATGATCGCTGGGAGAGAGGAGATGGTCTGAGCATCATACCTGGTCTGCCCCAAACTGGCTCTCTAGAGAGGCATCGCATCCTCAGTGAGTCCCGTGACCGACGACGTTTGCAATACATTTTATCACATAAAATCTCAATAAGATACATTGACGTTTTGCATGACAAAATGTGAAACAGTTGAAGTTGCATGGATACAGGTTTGCGAGGGACCCTGACGCCTCTATATTCCTCGTCAGGTACCTCCAAAATGGATTCACCGGTTCTCTCCCATGAAAGTCGCCATAAGCCGGGGGAGTCCCGTACATCCTCTCGTCCTGGGCGACCTGCTGTACGTCTTTTTCTTTTTGTTTTGTTTTCTCTTCTGTTGCATCATATTAACTATTTTTCAAATTGTTTATGAAAGTGTGTTGACTGGAGGCACAACTGTGTTAAATTAGGGTTGTAACAGCACACGATTAGCTCCAAGCAGTGGAAGCAAAAAGTGGCCTCTACAACTTTGTTAGAACTGGTAACTTGAGAAGATCAATGTTTATGTTTTTTAATAAAACTCCTTAAGGAATTTAAATACTTTTTATTCTCGAATCGACGAAAGAGCTCAGCTGTTCAGACATCACCTCTGGTCAGAGGCCCAGTCAGGACAGTAGCAGTATGTTGTTGCTGCTGTACAGCATTTGGGACTGGTTGGTTGTTACAGGCAGCTGGATTTGATCTTTAGCAGATTTTTTTTTATGTTTCAGTGAAATTTACCTTCAGATCAGTAACTCATTGAAGCGCAGAATGAGCGATGCGTCTTACTCCTGTTGAAAAATGGGACAAACTTTTGCTCTGGTTTATTTTTCTCTCTCCGTTGAAGCTGCATTACCAAATGGTAATGGTGTTTAGTGACAACTGGAATTCCTCTGTTCAATGTTGGTGTCACTTTTTATACTACAATGCACTGCGTGCTTAGTTCACCTCAAACATTCTGCATGTGTTGAGGTATAAAGCAGCGCTGTCTTTGTTTGGTAGGCGTGTGCTGTACCTGATATTTACAGTAGGAATACTCGCGCTGTTACACTCCTAATGTTAATGCAACTGAAAGACCGCTGCCATTGACAAGCAGTCATAACACGAATAACACAAATTGACAGACATTTTACTTGTATTGGCAATTCACCAGTTGCTTAAAGCACGTCTAAGGGGAATTACAGAAAGCTTATTCACAATTGAAAATGGCCTTTCAGGCACAAACCGATTGCCATTAATTGAACCCCAGTGCTAGTCTTAAACGGTTTCTCACGTTTTGATGTAGCATTTAAATCCAGGAATATGTGTACACTTGTGTTTTGGTGAATGTTAAAATGTTAAGCATCTCTTCCAACTTTTCTCCTGCATGATTTTCTCAGGTTCATCTTATGCTGCGTCTGGCAAACTGCAGTTTGTGCTACATCAATATAAAACTAAACACATGTACATTGAAATACAGTTTTTATTTCAGCTAAATCCAGCTATACTCTCTACATGCAGTGTGACATTTCTGTTTGGTGGAAGAACATGCTTTGAAGAACAGTATTGCAGAAAGTACTTTGTGTGATACTGTCTGAATAAATCGATGCTTTAGCATTCCCAGACTGATGAAGCAATCACTGCTACCATGATGCATGTATGAGAGAAAGAAGTGCTTACTTTTACACAGTGGGCACCTTTTCTGTCACAGCTCACATTTCTCATCTTAACTCTCTTGTTTGTTGACTTCGAATGTGCAGAGCTACAAGAGGGCTATAGGGGAGGTTAGTAGCACTGTGTCCATGTGTTGAGCAAGGCTTTGAAATTATGCATGCATTTGTTTTCCTTCACTTTTTAATGTTCATGCAGATTTGATTAAACGGCCGACGTTTTTTCTTCATCAACTGTAATATTGCGATCCTAATGGCATGTTCTGTTGCACTCATTTATTTTCTCAATGTTGTTTTTCTTGTTGATGATCCTGTAATGTCTGTTTTCTTTTCACACATTGATCACTGTTGTGTGAGCACGTGTGTGTTGTTTGCTTGTTTGTTCCTTGCTAGAATATTCTGTTTTAAGTGCCTTTTGTAAGTAAATTGTGACGTCGTGTGTGCAGGACCACGGGCTGTACGCTAAGGAGCGTACTGAGGAGCCACCGCGCCCCCCTGTCAAGGCCAATGATTACTCCTCATCTTCAGAGAGCAGTGAGAGTAGTGAAGAAAGTGAGAGCGGCGAGGGACCCGAGGAGGAGGAGAGCCCGACTGATCGGTAATGAAAGTGTTAACACAAATATTCCTGATTATTCAAGACGCAACAAACTGCTAGGGATGATCCTATCTGTTCTAAGGTAAGATCTAGGGGTGTTGTTCAAAGTTACTATTTTTTAATTATTTGCTTTGAAGTCCTTTACTAAACTTAATACCAAATACACCAGCGGAGCTACTTGTTGTGAGTTTTAGTAGATCTAAACCTTTCTGTGAACACGACTTCCAAAACTGGCCTTGCACGTTTTCATTTAAAAAAAATGTTTTTCTTTCAGAATCTAACTATTTTTCACCTTTTATGATGACTTTGAAAGCATAGTTGCACGATTCCTGTCTGCTGATACTATAAAAGAGTAACAAAACAGGACGGTGGATAGCTCATCCTGTTCAGGACATGTCTATTTTATGGTAATTGTATTCACTTGCCTTCCGGCTTCATATCTTCCTCATCATGTTTCTCTTTTATCCAGCCACAGAGATGCAGACAGTGATTCAGTCAACACCATGGTGGTTCATGAAGATGAGGGTGAGGTGGGAGAAGGAGAGCAAGCTGAAGGATACGGGGATCAGACCATGCTGGTTCAGAGAGTGAGTCACCTCTACATGCACTGGTGTTTAAAACGCATCTCAGTGTTTCTTTTTCACCAGTGCAAAACCGATGATATTTAGAAACTAAGAAAAATTACTGTATTTGTTTTGCTGTCATTTCTTTCTAAACGGGCATTTTAAACTTTTGTCAAACTCCTCCATTTCGCCCTAAGCTCCCCTCTGGCCAAACACTGTTACGTTGTCAGCTGAAGTATTGTGGAGATATCTGTAGAGACAACCATGACAGGAGACATCTTCCAGATGACTCCTAATGGGATGAATGCTGTGAAGAGCATTTGTATTCATGTCCGTTTGAATATGCATTACCGGTGTCATTTGCACCAAGTTGCATTGATACTTAATATAATTGGAAAGTAAGGTTTGTTTATCAAATGCAGTGGCTTCACTCTATAGGTTTTATATGATTTAGGTCTCGGGATTTCTGTTGATTTGGTTTTATGTTTTGCAATATTATTTCTGAAAAACTCAATGACGGCACATTTTCAGCTTACAAGAACAGCTCACAATGTTTTCTTTTTTAACATCCTGGTGTTTGAAAGAGCTCATGAGTGCTTGCACTCAATCAGGGCTCCCAGGCATTTCAAAATAGAAACAGGCCTGCAGCATTTGTTACCATAGTTAAGACTTGGTCTCATCTGACTGAAGCACACAGTTCCAGTTAAATTCCCTTTAGCTTCTTCTTGAGAACTGCTTGCCATGTAGATTGTGTATAATCTACATGGCAGGTTTGTTTTTGAGTATAGGAAGTCACTCTTTGCTTCCAGGGTTTTTCTTTTCCACCTTTCCATCTCGCTCACTGTTTGTAAGAGTAAGATGCACGAGTCCTCGCCCAGCCTAGTGGCTTTCATGCCCAGTATTTCATGTCAAATTTAGAACTAACTACAAGAAATAGAAAATTATTGATTACTTGTTTATGTTTCCTAAAATGTTACCTTCAAAGCCAGAGTATTTGCTTTGTTTGATTTTCTCTCTAAAAATATAAATTTTCCTGTTCAGCCATTTATTGTGAAAATGAAAAACTTTGCTCATAGGTTTGGTTCATGTAATTTTGGGGAACATCACATACAGTTTGTGTTGTTCCCCAACATGAAGTTAATGTAACTTTTTATCTGGCAAGCATTTTAGATTTGGTGTATTTCAAAATTTATCTTTTACTTTCTTTAAAACATTTACATTTTGTGCTCAAGTTTTTCTAATTGAAAAGAATTTTGACTTCTAAAAGTCCCTTTTCAAATCACAGATGGTAATTTTAGGGAATACTTTATAGGTTTGTCAAATTATAAAGACGCATGTGTTTCTGATTCTCACATTTGGTACAATATTTAGGCTTTAGGTCGCTAAGTGGTTAGCTTATTTCTAGCTGAACATGTCATACTTGGTTGCAGCACAATAGCCCAGATTCAAATCTGTGGCGTCATCATTACATAACGAATTGTGTGTTTGTTTTACCTGGAAGACCCCAGAGAAGAGGAGCCATAACGGATACACTAACTTGCCAGATGTGGTGCAGCCCTCCCACTCTCCCACAGACTCAGCCTCTCACTCCTCCCCAGGGAAGGACTCTGTTTATGATGCAAGTTTCACTGATTCTAAGTATATCAGTCCTCAATCCGTGGGTTATTTTTATATCTGCTATGTATGCCATCATGTCAGGCATGAAATGTTCATCAAACATCGTTAGTTCAATACGTTAGTTGTCTTTGTAAAGTGATAAAGGCAGTAAAATTACATGTATACTGTGTGTATAAAATATTAAAAATTCAATTTCTGTTGCCTTAATGTGGAAATAACGAGAACATTTTCAATCCAGTATCAATCCAGGGGTTTGGTGAAGGCATCTGGCAAGTCTTCCTTCACCACCTTCGTGGATCTTGGCATGTATCAGTCACCAGGTGGTACAGGGGACAACATGTCAATCAGCGGTGAGTGACGAGCTTTTCAAACGTCCCAGAGCATCTGCTCAGTGTAAATGTTGACCCATTAATATTGCAGCCACAATGGTTTGTTTGTTTGTTTGTTAAACCTGACTTCTTCAAGACATTTATAAATTGTAAAATTAGTTTCAGCATGTGTTTAGTCTGTATACATTTGCAGCAGTATTCAACCCTAGTCTGTTGTGCAGCAAAAATATTCTGGGGGGAATCACATATACAGTTCTGTTGTTTTGGTTTTATGCAAATGCCATTTGAAAAAATTAATATATTGAAAGTGATCATTAGTGAAAACAATCCATTCCTGTGTTTTTGCTCTCTAGGCTCCAGATTTGAGCAGCTGAAGATGGAAGTGAGGAAGGGATCCATGGTGAATGTCAACCCTACCAACACGCGCCCTCCTAACGACACGCCTGAGATCCGCAAGTACAAGAAGAGGTTCAACTCTGAGATCCTCTGTGCTGCACTTTGGGGTAAGGATAAAAATCACACTGTTCGGTTACAAAAAGAGCTAAATAACAGATTCAAGGAAATACAAAAAGAAAAATGCATTTCGATAAATTATAAGCATAGTTAACCACATAAGCCTGCTCTAGTTTTTGTTTCAAAGGTGACCAATATACAGTTTATTTGCAGTAAAGAACAAAAGTAAATAGAAAAACATGAATTCTACTGTTATTTTTAGTTGAGGCTACAAGAACGATAGTATTAGAATGTTTTTCACACCCAGTCTTAGTTATTTATCGGTCCATGTGTTTGTCTATAGGTGTGAACCTGCTGGTGGGCACAGAGAACGGCTTAAAGCTGCTGGACCGCAGTGGCCAAGGAAAGGTTTACCCACTCATTAACTCCCGTAGGTTCCAACAAATGGATGTTCTGGAGGGCCTCAACCTGCTCATCACAATATCAGGTACACTGACTTCAGCTGGCGTTCTGTTTGGGTTTTAATAATTAACTTTGGGAGCAAAAAACTCATAATTTTCCATTAGAATAGGAAAATGCTAATAAAATGGTGCATAATGCAGGTTTTGTGTGGTTTGATGTTGCTCTTCAAAAGAAAACAATTTTTTTTAAATATCACTTGAAAATTATGTTATTGGAAGATTAATATTTGAACACCAACTTTGGCCAACACCAAGTCTTAAAAAAATGCAAATATAAAAAAAAAAACCTGAAATAAATAAGCAATGCTAAGCCTGGTGGGGGCACAAGTAAAGTTTGTGGCTTGCCAGACTTATAATACACTGATTGAAACCCTGATGTAATTTTGTTTCTTGAGCTAATCACAACATTTAGCATCTTTTTGATCAAGTTCTCCTTGTTGTTTAAGGCAAGAAGAACAAGGTGCGTGTGTATTACCTGGCATGGCTGAGGAATAAGATCCTTCACAATGACCCGGAGGTGGAAAAGAAGCAAGGCTGGACCACTGTGGGAGAAATGGAGGGCTGTGTTCACTACAAAGTGGGTAAGTTTCATCCATGTCAGCCATCTTTCCTCCTGAGAAATGATGGTGACCTTAGGCGGCGCCGGGTGGTTAACCTGGTGAAATGAAGGCTAATTAAAATAAATGAATGAATTATTAATTACTTACTGCTCTTCTGTCCAGTGAAATACGAGAGGATAAAGTTCCTGGTGATTGCTTTGAAGAATGCGGTGGAGGTTTATGCGTGGGCGCCCAAACCTTATCACAAATTCATGGCCTTCAAGGTAGAACGCTCCTTTCCCATCACATTACGTTCTGAGATCAATCTGGCTAATTATTTTCCCAAAACAAACTTCACACGTGCCCTTTGCCCTTTTAAACCAGTCTTTTGCAGACTTGCCACACAGGCCTGTACTGGTTGACCTGACTGTAGAAGAGGGCCAGAGGTTGAAGGTCATCTACGGTTCCTGTGCTGGGTTCCACGCTATCGATGTGGACTCTGGAAATAACTATGACATTTACATCCCTGTTCATGTGAGTTGTAAAGCTTTCAGTCTGTGTGTTTTGGTAGAAGTGAAATCTCTGGGGAAGCTTTGACCTCACTCCTTCATTGCAAGCAGATCCAAAGCCAAGTGACTCCACACGCAATCGTGTTCCTGCCCAACTCTGACGGCATGGAGATGCTGCTTTGCTACGAGGACGAAGGCGTTTACGTCAACACCTACGGGCGGATCATTAAAGACGTCGTCCTGCAGTGGGGCGAGATGCCCACATCCGTTGGTACGACTCAAACCCAGCGAACTTTAAAACTGTGTGGTTGTGTAAGATTTAGTTGGATTGGCCATTGCTAATGTCTCTGTGGTTTGCAGCTCATATCTGCTCCAACCAGATTATGGGATGGGGTGAAAAGGCCATCGAGATCCGCTCTGTGGAGACCGGTCACTTGGATGGGTCTTCATGCACAAGAGAGCTCAGAGACTGAAGTTCCTTTGTGAAAGAAATGATAAGGTAAGAGAGATATGTTTAATGATAAGAATTGAAGCAAATAAATACCAAAAACTAGATTAAAATCATGTTTTTTGAACTTGGAATAAAAATTTATTTAAAACAGTTAAGTTTTATATTTAGGAGGTATGAGATTTATATCTGCAAACATCAATTTCCAAAATTTTTCATAGTTTTTCATTTTGATTTAGGTGTAATTTTTTTTCTTGGATTGAAATTTATTAATTTATTTAAATGATCTGTGTGATTGTATGTTTTGAATTATCACTTTAGGTTTACTGCCATGTTTGCAGTTGTCATACTTTTTGTTTTCAAATGATTTCAGATTTTCAAAGCTTGAAATATACTAAATACTAAAACACCAATTTAGTTTTCAGTGCTAGTGACAGTGCAGTGAACGTCAAGTGGTAAAAGTTGCAAAATAAGAACTTTCTATTAGTTTTATTTCTAGCTCATTAAGACTTGTGTAAAGAAGGGAAGTGGGCTTTTTTTCTTCAGAATAATGCTGTTCATGCTAATAATTCTGTTATAGATGTAAGTCCAGTAACACTTGCATGCCTTTGTGTCTGTGCTGCTCCCCAGGTGTTTTTTGCTTCCGTGCGTTCAGGAGGCAGCAGCCAGGTGTACTTCATGACCCTGAACAGAAACTGTATCATGAACTGGTGAAGCGGCAGCTGCTTTGGTCAGTGCGTAGAACCCAGCAGAGCCGACGTTCTTGCTAACGCATGCACACAATTTACAAACACTACTCTCTTTTACCCTGAAGCTCCTACATACTTGCGTGCTCCCACCGCAAACACAAAGACATCCAGAACTCACACAGGAAAAAAACAACAAAAAACACCACAGACACAAACTCTACATCCATTCCAGCCTAAACTGCTTAAGGTACAGTTTATACAGAGACCCCCTGCTGGCAGTCTGCTTGGAATCATCATGAAAAATCGCAAATGAGATTCAAATGTCAATATCCGCAATTAATTTAGACTGTATATATATAAAACCTAGCTTGATTCTCTTTTCTTTGTGAAGCTGTCTTCTTTAGTTTGATCTCTTTAGTTTCTATTTGTGCCGTACGTTAAGATTCCTATATTTGAGGAAGGCTATATTTTTCAAGTACTGTGTTCAAAATCAATAATATATTGCCTGAGACTTGGACGAGAATCTGTTTCAAACTTGAAATGCTGAAGAGTCCATGTGCTGTGCTGCACAGACTTTACTTGTTCACCATTTTGAAATGAAGTTGTTCCATATCAAGAAACATTTGATGTATTACAAAAAGATGAGCAAAACCTAGATGAAGCGGCTTGTTTAAATACTTCAGTTATTGTAAACCCTGTTTGTTTTGGTTTTTCGCTGTCACAGAAATCAGGCCTTGAATCGTTTAAATGTAAATTAAATTTCAGTTCAATATTAATAAATGACGAATCCAGTTCAGTCTTTTTTTATAAGGTAAATAGAATCGGAACAGAACAACTTCCTGCTTCAGTTTCTTCTTTTGTTTGTGTAAAAACCAACTTTATTCAACTTGTATCCATCTTTCATAAGTTTACAAAGTACGCAAATTTAGTATTTATATGTAGTGGTTCTGTAATAGTTCTAGGCTACTGATTTTCTTAATTTTTACTGTACTTCTAATGCCATATTATTGCAATATATTCTACTGTTGTGGAGTCTTTTTAAGAGGGGAGTTTGTATGTGAGGCAGCATGATGAGAGCTTCAGGAGGAGGAGGATGGGTGTGGAGGGACAATCGCTGATCAACTCTGCTGTATCATATTTTAGTCCTTAAATTGTTTTGTTTTGTTTTTTTTTGCGTGACCATGTGTGTGAGGAGTGTTTGTGCAGGAGAACAGCTCTTTGTGGTCTTCGGCCAGCGGAACAATTTATCTTCGGGGAGACGCTGCAGTTTGGCAGAGTACTCCAGCTTTTTGGGCACTTTGGAGAGCATGAGTGGAACTCGTGAAACATAATATATTTTATAGATTTACATTCTGCCAAAGTTCACAGTGCATGTTGGGATAACTGGGTGAGTCGAGGCCAAAGAAAGCAGAAACTAAATGGAAGCTGTGAATGGAGGCAAAAACAACTCACAGATCACTGACCAAGACTTTCCTCCTGTAATGTATAAATAGTTGTTTATATACAGTGTTGATCGAAAGTTTAGATACACAAATAACCTCAGTTGACCTTTGTTTTCCAATGTATAATCAGCTTGATAAGCCCAGTGGTCGGATGCTAGAGCAGTCATTCATCCAGCGGCCTGTCGTGTTTTTGAGTTGAAAAATGTTTGAAGTTGACTAAAAATGTGAAAATATCACCTGATAATTTGTGTTATTGGAAAGATTTTAAGATTAATATCTGAACACCAACTATAAAGTCTTAAAACTTTGCAAACATTTTGAAAAGACTTGAGTAAATAAGCAATGCTCAGCCTGGTGGGGGCACAAATAAGGCCTGGTGGCCCGCCAGGCTTATAATACACTAGAGGGAAACCCTGATAATGATAGCATGAAATACAACAACACAGCCACATGCAGATTTTTTTTGTATACACCAACCATCTTGTGACTGAATATTTGACTACTTTTCTTTGCAGAATTGGTTGTTAATTTAAACTGATTGGATTCCCAACAAAGAAATGAACTTTAATCATTTAAGCGTAAATGTTAATGTGAGTTGAGACCAGGACATCCCAGAAGATCCAATCGACGATTGTTTTATCGTCCAATGTCCAGACTTTATCTCCATCTGTCTGTCGATCCAAGTGATTGAGCTTTTATGGTTCCTGGAGTCTCAAACTTCTATTTGAGAGATCCCAAATGCACATTAAAATCAATCAGTTCAGATTAATTCTACTATTTTTAATGAGAAGAGTGTGTAAAAATATTCAACCAGATTTCTGTCTGATCAGAAACGAAACTAATTGAGGGAATGATGAAGGAACCTTTGATTAGTGATAAGTGGAAAACTGCTAAAGCCTTCAGGATAAGATGGACTGTCATAAAGCTATAAAGATCGCAGGACCTGTTTGAGTCAAAGTTACGATCATTATTCTATAGATGGTTTATTGTACAGGAAGAAAATTTAAATGGACATGGAGAACACTTGTCCTTCAGTTTGCAAACCCTTACAGATGTATATCTAACACATACTTCAGTGTGCAATGAAACAGTTTGTATAGTACTGTATGAAACGTGTTTTTCTTTCCCCTTGTTGAATATCTTTTATGTGCCATGACCTACACTGCAGATTTACAATACACTCAGAGCTCTGGCACTTGTTTTTCTTGTTTTATTTTCAATCAGTCTGCCATCGTGTTTACAGATTAAGTAGTGCCTTGGAGTAGGGAAAGTTAGAAGCCTAAGGAATCTTTTTTTTTTTTTTTTTTTTTTAGCCCCGTCCTTCGTCTCTTACTTGAAAAGCCAAAAAGACGTTTAGGAAAACACTTGGTGCCGGTTAAGTGCACTTAAATGAAATGAAATAAAATCTAGAATATCCCCCAGGTGAATGTGAGATGCATTTTTTTTTTGCACCAAAATCAACTCCGAATGATTCATAGCGCGTCCAATCAGAAAGTAGTAATAACAAATGGGTTATTACGCGTTCATTGAGCTTAATGTAATGTGTAGTGGATCAGCTTACAGAGGGAACCAGCACAGAGAAAAGCCATGTGTATGAAACCAGTTTGGAGAAAACACTCAAGTGAATGTGTGTGTGTGTGTGTGTGTGTGTGTGTGTGTGTGTGTGTGTGTGTGTGTGTGTGTGTGTGTCCTCAAACGATGATGATGATGATTTAGGTTCATGCTGCACAGATCAAATAATTGCTTATCCTTCAGTGATGTTGATTGTGTAACCTTGTAGTCGGGAGAGTAGCTTGTTATATTCTCAGAAGCCTATTTTATAAAGTTTGTAAATTAGTATTATTCAGAAATAAAGGTGAATGTACATCTATAAAACAGGTTTGTATTTGTATAAGAGCGTAACACACTATTCTAAGCACAATGTATTTTAGGATGGATCAACTTAGAATAACAGAGATGGAGTCCTATACCCCACGTTCTCTGTCGTCGAGTTTGTCAACATGAGATCAGATAAAATAGTTGTTTTAAAAACGGTTGTCGGCTGTCGCCTCGTCCATCAGCTTTCACAGCGACGTCCATGTTGGTTGGTGAACTGCGCAGGGCTGACGGGCCGTTAATATTCTCAGGTGATCGTCATAAAGGAAGTGCAGTGGTGAATTTAGCCTCTTATCAAGGGAACAGCGACCAGAGAGTCAAAAGTACATTTAAACAATTTGTCAGAATACCAGAGCTTTATGTTTGTTTTTATCAAAACCAGTTTGTGAAACTAGAGAAATAACGGATGTCGACGATGGTTAAAACTGAGGACTGTCGTGTGAAAACATGTTAGGCACAATTAAAAATAGGATCAAAAGCTAAGTCACTGTAGTTCTTAACGTGAAGAAGTACATTTTCATTGAAAGGACAACAATTATTCCAAAATTAGAGACTGTGCATTAAGTTAGGATGTATTTGTGGGAGATTTGAGGCAAAACTCGTCACATTTCAAAATCAAACTTGTGAATTTAATTGACTAATTTTTGAAAGCACAAGATTTGTTACTGAGGCTTATAAAAGTAAGCTTTACTGTTAAAGAAGATATTAAAAGCACTAAGATTTAAATTAAATTTAAAGATAACATGATGCTACATTGTAGCCAGAATTATACCAATCAGTTTTCTCCTGGCTGGTACAGATTAGCATTTTTTTTGTGTGCCTGTTTTGATAAATACTCCATATAAATTTTTTATTGAAAGGAATAAAAAATGCAGTGAAAGTTTTTTTTGATAGAAGTCATGGTTCTGAATCACTAAATGAAGGAATTCAAAGCATTTGTCATAAGTTGTTTTTTTTTTTTACAAAATAAATAGATCAAACTACATGCTGGTAATTTTAGCTTTCATGCATTTAAGAAATACTTAAGTATCTTTTAGTATTTGTTCTTCTGATCACCAAGCAGAGACTATCAAGGAAAACTAACCAGTTCCAACCTTTGGCATGTTGATTCATGTGTCTCTAATTACAATAAAGCGTCTTTTTAAAAACACTTAAGCTACTTTTAAAATAAAAAGCACCTTAACATGTGTAAGTTCTGTTCAGGTTTGCACTAAGCACCAATTGAAACCTAAACAGATAGACTTTGAAGGTCGGCGTTACTTTAGGTTTCATCAGTTTCATCAGCTGAGGGCATCGTCTGAAACTGATAGAAGAGCCATGGCGAGACGGTGACGCTTCTGTTAAATAAGCAATATCTGAACCAATCAAAACCCTGGCTGTCCATCTCAGTGTGGCTCACAGGTGGAGATTCTTCAGTGGCCTTTGGCAGAATAAATGTAGGCTGGTTTGTGTGTTACAAAACCATTCTCGAAACGACAGCTCCTCTCTGTCAACACAATCGCCTTCTGGGAAACTAAAGACGATGAAATGTCAGAAACCACCTTAATGGCAATGATAAATAGAAAACCTAGTAATAATCTAATGTGGCACTTCTGTTATTTTTGGTGTGGCGTGTGTGAATGGTATTGGCAAATCATAATCGCCAGGATGTTTAGACGGAGCTATAATATCCATTTTTCTTTTCCAATAACTTGATTTTTAACATTTTTGCAACGTTTTAATGTGCCCATGTCTGTGTTACTTGTGAGAGGTTAACTTCAGATTGTATTTCATAAACCTATAACTTTAAACTTTCAAAAGATTGTGCTGAATGAATTTGTCTTAATACAGGTTGTTTGAAAAATAAAATCTTGATCTCACTTTGGTTTGTTGGTGTTTTTTCTGTTGATGTTTACATCTGCAATGAAAGGAAAACGGGATGAAGACACAAGACTGTTTTTGTTTCATTCTTGTTATATTTTTACTCCAAGGAAGCAGTCGCAGAAGTTTATTAATTAGAAGTTCCTGGAAACTTAAGATTTGAAGCAGAAATTATCATACAATGAAATGCTTCAGATATTTCATTTGATACTTCTTTGTCTTTCCTCCATGTTTTTTTTTCCTCCAATTTCTACATATAAAGTTGACAAAGATTAACCTCAACATCACACAGGTTGTGTTGGTGTTGTTTCCTCCAGATGAACATCCTCTAGGGCCTACATAGGGAATGACCGTAGAACTGCCTGATATAAATTCACAGGGAACTTTGATCTAGTTTAAAATGAAGATGAATATTCAAGGTAAATATCCTTTTTTTTTCTTACATGGACTGAGTGTCTGTCATGGGATGGCTTGTAACGTCATTTTAAATCTGTTCCAAAGTGGACTGCAGCACCCTCTTGTGGCTGAAGACAATAACAGTCCAGAAAAAAAAAAATTCTAAGAATAAAAACTTGGCATTCAGCACAGTAATTGTAGTATCCCATTGGCAGCTTTAGAAAAGAAACCACAAAAGCCATCAGGAGAGGCTATTATTTATTAGTATTATGTACAATTATTCCACGGTAATTTCCAAATAATCAATGACAAAGTCAAACTTTGAAAACTGGCTTCTGACACTAGAAGTGTTTCTGTATGTTGTAATTTGTCCCTCCTTTCTCTGAGATCATTTGGAATTACCTGATAATTATCTAATTTTCAGTGTATCTGAGGCACACAGGGAAAACATGAATAAAACACAAGTCTAAAAAAAAAAAAAGAAACAAGAAAGGGGAGCAAAAGTGAACTTAAACACTATCTTGTGAGATGTACATCGCTATAAAATGTGACCACATGACCTGAACAGCATGTCAGTGAAGCCTTGATGCACTTATGGGGCTCTTCCTTCACGCCGGTGTCGCTGAAGTCGTATGATGCCGACATGGAGACGGTACAGAAAGGAACGTGAAGCGCATGTTGAGTTTCATTGTAAACGAAGGCAGAATCATCCGGTGGGCTCTTCTGGAGGAGCAGTGTCTCTCAGGAGAACTGTGTGTGAATTAGGAGTGTTAGATGTGTTTAAAAGGCTTCAGGTAACAGTGAATCTTAAGGAGTGTTTTTTTTTTTATTACTATTCAAGCAGCTGAAGTTTCAGCTGTATTTGGTCACATTTGATATAACCGGGTTTTGTGTGCTGCTGTGCATTTAGTCAGTAGTGTGTGATGTAGGCATGTGTTCAGATTTCATTTCTTCTTGTATTCAAAGCCTTGTGGAATCGGGGTGTGTGGGTAAACTCGCACCTACGTTGTTCATAATATGTACAGTAAAATGTTGCAGTTTGGCTGTTAAATCTTAAATACACCGTCGGTGGGAGGAGGAGGGCTGGGAGGGTGGTGTGTGTGCATGTGTGTGTGTGTGTGTGTGTGTGCAGGGATGCTGGGCGTGCGCATGGTTCCTGCTGACGTGCGTGGCTCAGTTCCATATCTTAAGGAAGCTGTCCCAGGATCCGGTGCAGGCCGCCATGCCGTCGTCTGTCACACCAAGGCAGCTCACACGATTGTCATGGCCAGCCAGGACTCCTGTAGGGTGGACACACACACACACACGCACACACACATTTTTTTTAAAAAATGTTACGTTTTCAAAGCTTGTAATGTTACACAAAAAGCTTTTCGCTTGTTACATTACTTGCATATTGTGACTGTTTTATGTTATTACATGTGTAATTTTAAACATTGCTTCCAGCTGTTTCCACACAAATATTCCTGAAGCTCAATGATGATAAACGGAAACTGTGACATCATTTAAGGTTTTGCAAGTACATGTCACTCAAGCCGCCTCGTTCAATCTGCAGTGATGACAGCGTTGTGTAAATTTATATTAAAGTCACGACATAAATAAAACATTTACTGTTGCAGCAAAATGTCTTATTGAAAAAAAATTTGACAAAAATCAAATGTTTAGTTTGAGTGTTTGCTCTTATTTTTAAGGAATAATAGTTTGTTTTTAAGATCACAGCAACTCAGAACGGTGTGCGCTACATAATCCGTCTCCATCTTGCAGAACTAAGACCTTTGCAGGTGTGCAACGTCTTCACGTTCAGTGCACCATGTGCCCTGTTTTTGTCCACGAGGCTGAATTTTTCACAATAAACTAACTTTTTATTTAGCAAATCTTTCAGAAAAATCAGCCGACGTTTAGCTAATCTGATTTGTGGCCCACCTGCTCTGTCTCCCTTCATGGCGTCCCAAATGTTGCAGTTGAAGTCGTCGTAGCCGGCCAGCAGCAGACGGCCGGAGCGAGAGAAAGCCACGGAGGTGATTCCACAGATGATGTTGTCGTGGCAGAAGATACTGAGCTCCTGATCTGCGCGCAGGTCAAACAGCCTGCAGGTGGCGTCGTCGGAGCCTGTGGCGAAGGCGCTTCCGTTGGGGAAGAACTGGGGAAAGAAGTGATGGCTAAGAAGCGAACTCTTGCAAACACAGCAATAAATAAGCTCCCATATTTACTAGGTGCTTCCATGTCTGTGTCTCACTTAATCTGATCATTTTTAACAAAATGTTTCCTGAAAGCACAGATGCTCAAATACATCACTTTCATTTTTCTTCCACTTCAGATTATTTTCTCCTTCGTGTTGATCTAATGCACAGAATCTTAATAAAAGAAAGATTGCACATGTACCATGACGAAACGTGAAGAGCTTTCGGGAGCGCATCTTCCCTGTGATCTGATCTCACTGCGTTTCCTGAACTGTGTCAGGCAGAGAAGGAACAAGAGAACCGGAAGCCCGATTGTTTTACGTTTGGCTGGCGCACTCACACAACTGGCGTTGATATCCGACTCGTGCCCAATAAAGGTCTGCCGGCACATGCTGTCCCTGATGTCCCACAGTTTAGCCGCAGCGTCGCAGGCTCCTGAGACGAAGGTGCGCAGGTCGGGCGACGGGGACAGACTCATGACGTCGCCGGTGTGGCCCGAGAACACCGTGGTCTGCTGACTCGTCTCGATGTCCCACAGCGCGCTGGGGACAAAGAGCAAACGAGTCTGTCAACAGCGGGCAGCTCTGAGGACATGTTTGCACTGCAGGCTCGTGGTTTTGACTCATCGGACTCACCAGGTGGTGTCTCCTGAACTTGTGATGATTTGATTGTCGTCAATAAAACGGCAACACGAAAGGTAACCTGGGGTTGCAGAGAGAAGAGGGCGTCATCTGGACAGGTTCTTTCATTCGGGTCACTAACGGCCTCTCGGAGTAACTGTGGTAGTCCTGCCACTTCTTTTGATCTGTTCAATGTTCCAGATCGAACCCGAAATATTCACAGCCCTGGCGAATTTTCATTTCACCAAGGACTTTGTTTCTGATTAGAAATGAGACAAAGAATTTCTGTCTGACAGATTTTCTGTCAGAGCGAAATCCAGATCTTGACCGGACCTCGTCAAAGCAGCGTCACGTCCAGCCAGAAGAATCATGTTGGTCAAATCAGACTTTAGACATTAATCTGGCAGGGTAATGAATCGTTTTGGGCTTTCTGTGGAGGTAAATGTCACCTGTGTGTCCAGGTAGCTCTCTGCTGACCCTCACGTTGCCTTCACGTGTTTTTAAGCAGTAGATGGAGCAGATGTTGTCCAGGCCTCCGCACGCCACGTAGTTCCCAGAGGGGGCGTACGCACAGGTCATTACCCAGGAGGAGCGCAGAGGGATGGCGTGTATCTGAGAAGGAAGACGCATCATGTGACGAAATGCAAGCTCTCAACAACGTTGCAGAAAGGAATCGGTACGAAGGAGTCATAATGTGTGCAGCCAGATTTATAAACAGCCTTGCAAAAAATATTTATACCCCTTGACCTTTTTTTAAAAAAAAAAAATCCTCAAAGCAGCAAAAAAAATAAGACAAAAACTTTGTCTCATCTTTTCCTTTTTGTGAAATATTCACCCTACCAAGTTTCCCCTGTCAAAAAGGAGGTCAGAGGTCAATTGAATAGTGAAAAAGTATGAGAAGCAAACGTTACTTCATGTGTCGCAAAACCAGTACTCCTTTATGCAAACGTGTCGGACGTTATACTGGAGAGAAAAGTTAACAAGACATTTAAGTTTCCACTTATACGAAACAACCTGCAAATCTTTTCCAAGGCACAAATGTCATCCAAAGCTGCGGTTAGAGGGGAAAATGCATAAAAATCCTCTAGCAGCAGGAAAACTCCACTGAAGCAACTGTAAATGTTACATTAGATCATTTGCGATTGTTGTCTGGAAGCTGGGCTGAGTCACTCAACTCAACTTCTCGTCCAGACGAGTCATGACCTCATGAGAGCAGAATTTTTACTGACTTTACCTTGTTAGTGGTGTAGCTGTCCCACACAATCAGTTTCCCGTCCTGAGAGGCACTAACCAGAAGCCTGCAGAAGCAACAGGAAGCAAAGGTTTGGAAACGCAAATCTAGACACATTCAACATGTGGAGATCAGAGTCTACATGTTGGATCACAACTGCCCCAATATTTACTCATGACTACATCCGACCTGCCACTGCTAAAACCTCCATGTTTTAATTACCCGACTTTCTCTCTTACGCAATGCACACGTTTGGGTTTTGTCAATTTATAAATACTTCAGATTATCAAACCAATTTTTACAAATGATCTGAATAATTGCAGAAAGCATTTTTTTCTTTAAAATTGTTTTTTTTTTTTTTGCCCTGTCCCAAACCATGACTGCCTCTGTTGTTAAATCATAAATCAACTGTGATATCATAATTTACACATTTCTGATTACTGCGAGATCCGGACAATCCAAATAAGCTCCACCGTAAGCCAGTCTTGCAGCATAACACACAATTTTAGGTGCAAATTTACATCTGAGTGACTCAAAAAAAAAAAAAAAAGACCCAAAAATGAGAGTTTTGA